TCCATCCCCAGTATTGCCAGATCTAAGTCGGCTACCGTGAAAACCCAAGGGAATTGCCTCCTGAACCCCAAATCTAGGGTTAAAGTTTTCTGCCCAAATGTCGCAATTTTAGTTTTATTTGCAGCTTGAAGTGTAATTGATGATGTTTCTCGACTAATCTCAGTTTTATTTTGAGGGATGATGCTAAGAGCAGCGCCAGTATCCACCAAGAAATTCAAGCCAGAGTTTCTGTCTCTAACATAAAACAAGCGACTGTTTAGGCGCCCCTCCTCAGTCGTCGCGACCTGGGGAGGGGTTACTCGTTTCCCGCTGTCTTAGAATTATGCTTAGGCCAGGCGCATGGTTGCATGCACTTGGTTGAGTTGACACCAAACTTCCAGTGGTACCAACAAAACTGCCCAGATTGTCTGGACATTTGTGACCTGTTTTGTGACTTGGATCGTGGTCGTTGTGGTGACCTGCTCCTGTTTCTATGACCCATTTGCATTCTGGTGACAGCCTCAGTGAGACTCTTAACACTCGCAATGAGTCCTTCTATTACGGGGTCTTTTGCTGATTCTACTTTTTGTGTGTGATTTATTGTGCCTGATCCAGTTGGAGGACCTCTTTCCATTATTCTGTCGGCTATACGCGCTAAATGAGATAATGAGGTTTCAGGATCTTGTGCATCCAAACAGTGTTGGACGTAGCATGGGAGAGCTTGTATCCATCCTTGTTTTAGGACTGCTTCACCCACTGTGTTATCACCCACTAAGACTTGGAGGTGACGTAAAAACTGTGACGGCGACCGATCACCTAGTGTTTCACCTTGAAAAAGTCTTTGGATTCTTTGACTATCTGATAATGATAAACGGTTCATTATCTCTCGTCTTAAGATGGTGTATGGTTGTGGTGATGGTGGACTTAAAATCAAGTCACGGACTTCTTTGGCGACTGAAGGAGGAAGGATAGAACACAAGTCTCTATAGCGAATCCCTTCAGATTTGATATTGTGTCTCGTGAAATAATGCTCTAGTTGAGCAAACCACAACTCAGGATCACTACGATCAAATTCTGGAAGTCGGGATTTCGTAGTCATAACAGTGTCTATCTCCACTGGTGACAAATCCTCCAGATTATGGGTTTCTATTGAGTCTGACATGAGGTATGTGACAAATATAGCAATAAAGTTAGCACGAAAAATGGTTACTATAACACGAATAACTTAAGATAATACGGAATAAACTAGTTATATACTCAAATTAGTTTACGGATAATCAGGTCTACTTTTACGATTAAGTAAAAAAAATGTTAATAACAGAAATGAGGTTAAATTTGTGTTCAAAAAGGGCTCACCACTTTCGTGCCTTAAGTAACCCTCGTGCTATTGATAGAAGAAACCAGACAAGTAGTGAATAGGTCTTTATTTCGATCTTAGCGCGGTCACAGTGGAGCGTGGGATTATCTGTTCAGACAAACAAAGGCTCTCAACATTCAATATAAGATAATAGGGAATATAACGCTTATACAAAACAAGGAAGTGAATGAATACTTGAACAATACTGTTTTGGCATATACTTGGTTGTTTGGGGTCAACTCTTAACCAACCAACCTAAGCTGTTACATGCTCAAGAGTAGTACAAGAATGAGTTAAGTTTCACTGTATTCTCAGTGAAATCTAAAAAACAGGTTCCACAGCTCATGAAAGCGCATTCACAGTTATTCCGCAGAATTTTTACAAGGTTAACAAAGTTGGTTTTCTTCTTATCTACGTTATCTCAGCAGTTAAAAAAGGCTTCTATCAACGTAGCTGGCGAGAACATGTCACCAAACGCGTTAGATTAAGTAGTGCTTTTTGAACATGTCTTCGCACAAAAGCCGGGATCAATAAATATCAATAAGTCCTAGGTCTTAAGTTTCATAGTTAGAGGGCTTCAACAAAAGCATTACTACTGTTATTAAGTTGAGTGCTAGTTAGCTTATCAGCAACGTTTCCGCTAAACAGATTTCCCCAAGCAGCGCGTTGAATAAGCTCAGAAGTTTATCCAGTCACTCTTAAAAAGATTCTCCATAGCATGTTTGATGTCTGTATGTTTTGGCTTTTGTGTCACGACTGTAATTGAAAATAATGTCATTTCTACTTACGAAACGTTGCTTACTATCCAATGCATGCATGAACTGAAAACTGTAGACTGGAAAATGAGTGTGTACAAACTGACCACAACGGCGCGTACAGGCAATACAAACATATGAGGAACATATGCACGAAGGCTATAAGAGAATACAGGCTTCAGTACCGGATAAAGCTTATGGATACATTTGTCTCCAATCCAAAAGGCTTGTTTCGTTATGCAGCCTCTCTTCTCTAAGCCAAAACTGGAGTTTCCCAACTGCTAGGTTCTAATGGTGCGATCAATAACAACGGTGACGCCGCTAACCTTTTGGCTGAACAATACTCTCAGACATTTCAACCAACCCACATCAACTATACTGAGGACAGCTTCATCTGCAACTGCACAGGACTTTCCGTAGTAAACCTGAGCGCTAATCTGGTGTTCCGGAAACTGCAGTACCTAAAATAAGACACTTCTCCTGGCCTAGATATGGTCCATTCTGCAATACTGAGGGAAGCAGCCTCAATCCTGGCAGCATCGCTTACCGTTATGATCTCACACTCGCTAATCCAAGGCAAACTATCGGAAAATTGGAAGCTGGCTCACATCACACCAATTTTCAAAGGAGGTCAACGCAGCGAACCTTCAAGTTACCGACCGGTGGCTCTTCTCTTTATGCATTCAAAAATCATGGAGTCCCTGATATACGATGGTATACATGACTATTTACTGTCCTTAAATTTCTTCTCACCCCAACAGCGTAGTTTCAGGAAGAGTTACTCTTGTATGGCCAACCTGCTGACTGCGACGGACAGATGGACAACCATCCTTAATCGCGAGAGGAAGGTTGATATCATTTACCTTGATTTCTCAAAAGCTATTGGTAGGGTTAACCATATATGTCTTATCAATAAGCTCAAACGATTAGGTATCAGACTCATTAATTATCTGGAAAATCGACATTTTAAGATAAGGGTTAACTTTACTTTCCCTCAGGTTATGAGATGTCCTAGTGGGGTCCCACAGGGTTCGGTACTGAGACCTCTACTCCTCTTGATTTATATAAACGATCTTCCACAACAGGTATCGTCTGCCTTCTTACTTCTTGCTGGTGATGTGAAACCTTGGAGAGAGATACTCAACGAATAGGACATACTGGCACTTCAGGAGGATCTGACTCGACTTTAAAGTTGGGCAGACGACAACGGACTTACCTTTAACACTTCAAAGTGTAAAGTAGTCCATTTGAGACATGTTGCAAACTACAGTTAGGACTTAGGAAACTCCTCTCTAGTAGTATCCCGAGTCGAAGAAGATTTAGGAGTGCTGGTGCCCTACGATTTGAAGTCTTACACCAACTGTGGTAAAAATGCCTTTCGAGCAAACTTTGCACTAGTAACATTGAAGCGCATTTTTGGTCAGTTTGACAAAAGAACATTCCACGTAATCTTCATTAGTTTCATTCGTTCACATTTAGAGTACGGGAACATAGTATTTCCTCCCTCACTCCAAAAGTATAAGGACACTCTGGAGCGCATCCAATAGCGGGCCACGAAATCAGTTTTGGGACTCAAATTCAAACCTTATGAAGAGCTCCTACAATCACTTAACCTTTGCCTATTAGAGTATAGGCGTCTTAGAGGTGACCTTCTGATGGCTTACAGTATCCCTAATACTTCTGGACATCCCCTTAAACACCTACTTAAGCTTAGTCCTGTAGATCACCAACGTGGGTGATCTGTGCCGAAATGATTGGAGGCCTCCTCAGGTTAGACGTGAGTGGTGTGTTAAACTAGCTAACGTCGAAGTCGCATATCGTGGTCAGCACCTTATATGGACTAGCCCATTGACGTAGCAAGGTGTCATGAGTGCTTCGAATGCTGTACAACACAGAGGACATTATTACAGAAATATAATAATTAACGTAGATACAAGCGAACGTAAGACCACCGCCGCATGTGCCAACCCACGGCGTACGAATAACTGATGCGCTTTGGTTGTCCTTGACCTTGACGAGGACCGATGATTTGTTCGGTATTCAACGACCCAACTGCCGGATGATTTGGCTAGGGCTCAGTGAAATTTCACTGGCCATACAGCCCCAATACAAACATAAGGGGTAATACCTAGAGACTGGAGACACAACATGGCAGAACGGACTATAGACACAACTTCTACTCTTGAAGAGTTGTCAAGTGCTGGAATTCGCTGCCAGCTGAGCTGGTCCAATAAACTTCTCGGTAGTGCTTTAGGAGAAAACTTGACAGAATCCTAAGGCCTGATGATAGTATCTTACTATGAGTTACCAGTTTCTCTTTCTTCTTTTGTCGTTAATTTACTCAGGTTCCCACCTAGAGGTATTGGCGGTCAACTGCTACTAGACACGGAAGGCCATTAAGTGAAGGCTTATTCTATTTTGTCCACAGCAATCTGAACCATTTAACATCTTTATTGACTACAACCAAAGACGTAGTTAAATGGTATTGATGTGAAAATGCGAATAATTTCATGCAAAAGCTTGATTACCTTTTTGTTGAGCCATTATTACTAGAGTCCTATCCACTGGTCGATAAACGTTCGTGTGCTTGTTTTGGGTCTCCTTTAATTTGGACAACACATGAGCAATAGCATACCAAAAACACCAATATATGCCACAGAGATGATTAAATGAGAGAACAAAACTGTAATCTTCCTGCCATTTGGACCATGGCAGTTTAGTATTTGGAACAATATTACTGATAACATAAAATAAACAGTAATTGCTTAACAATTTCAAGATAAAAGCTATGCAAGTTTGTTACAACGATTTTGAGGGTTGCATTGGGCGTCTGTAGATTTGTGGGCCGTTTGATTGAAGGTCATTTCTAATCTTTGATTTAGTGTATGATGGTAAAATGATGTAGCGGGATGAGACTGCGTATGATACCCGTGATATTCAAAGAAGGTATCGTAGCCTCTCTTACTGGCGGATTCTATTTTGATTCTTCCCAAACTCATTTCGCAAATGTCATTCATGTCTATGTTTGGATCATCCTATTTGTTATACCTCTGGTTCTGTATATGGTTAGACTATATAATTCTTATTTCTCTTAGATTTCAGGAAATTCCCACATCACGGCATTGCTTTATGGGTTTTCCATCGGGTCCTTCGTCCTTATAGTTAAGCTAGTAATTTGGAGACTTCACGATCTTCTGGATAAAAGTGACCCTGTTGATAATAATCAGGAAGCTAGTAAAGAAAACCTAAAGAAACAGTAAGCTCTTTGTTTTCTTATATTACTCGAAGGCCATCAACTGGGCACCAGACAGGTGTTCATGAAGATGATCAGGATATTAATGACATTGAAAACAAGTGCCGAAGAATTGGGATAGCCGGGATTGAATTAGCTGGTAATACTTGTTTATTTTAAATTATTGTAAATAAACATTAGCCTCTGTGATATTTACTTTCATTGAATTGCTTTCGGATGTTATGTGACATTAGAATCACCATTGTCGAGATGACAGATATACTGATAGATTCTAGCACGTGTGTTTTATAGGATTGTGTTTGGAATTTTTATGGAATCATTAGCTAACAGGTATGACCTATGTAGGTTGCGCGAACGCTTGCGTTTCCCCGGAAATGGTTTCTTGGTTGATAGCTATAGTTGATTTCTGCCTCCAAATGATTTGTTGTCTACATTTGGTGGTTTATTTGTATAGACGACTTAACGCGAAAATCATCTCACTACTTGGGTGTACTTTGTCGTTTCCACGTTGGAAAATTTTTAGGAAAAGTAGCAAATGAAATGAAAACTTGATTAATATGAATTGGTAAGTGGTAGTATTTATTTGGCTACACGTACTTTGAGCTAGTCACACATATGTCATAAACGATAAAAAGTGCTCGATTTCGTGGTAAACGTTTTCCATCCTTTCTTGTCTTACAAAGAGAAGATAATATTCATTGAAATAGTAAACGTCTGGGAGAACTATTCTACTATATCTGCAATTTTGGGATTCATCTTGATAATTTTACCTCACTGTTCTAATGTGGTGGGAAAAGTTGTAGCAATAGACATATATGTCAGTCTCTACATTGCTCATAACCCACACTGACATCTCGTTATAGTCTAGCCACTGTTTTATCTTTTGATAAACTCACCAGAGTGACTCAAAAGTATAAGATGTATAGGATTTGTGGCCAGGATAACTGCGAAATGAGATATGGTTTGATAATTTTCAGTTGCGTAAATCACATGTGGTTAGTTTCTATTTTCGTTTGTAGTAGCCGCGTGAATGTTCGAGAAACATCACGATCTATTCATCCTAAGATATTAAATTTAATGCAAACGTTACCATGATTACCCCGATTCCAAATAAGAAATAAATGTTATGAGAGAGTAGAGGAGATAAAAATGTAGCGTAGTAGTCATTAAAAAGCACCTATACTGTATTTCTGAGACTCATCAAATTATTCCGCTAGAAACAGTATTTTAGATAATATTATCTGTCCAAAAATATGCCTTCATATTGTGCCAGTCATGTTTATCTTCCTAATCTAGACCTAAACAAAGGCTCAGTAATAAATCCAGTGGTATCTACTGTCATTACTTGTCATTTCTTAACCAAACGCTTCAGTCAACATAATTGTGCAGTCATTTGAGTTAAAGTTTCAACCATGAATTCAAATTAGCAGTTGAAATCTTGCAGGAATATCTGTATTTTGTTGAAATGGTTTTTCCATCATTCAACACTTCTCTCTCTTGTGTTTAGTTTCACCTAATGAGTGGAATATTGAGCTCAATTACTACTAGGAATAGGGTAACGTTCACTCAGTTCATTTACATATAATTTAGAATTAAGACTTCATTTTTGTTGTATTGAGTATATAGTGTGATCTGCGTGCTTGCCAGTCGTGCTTGTGAAACTTACTAAATAACTTTTCGCCTGACATTCAAAGTTGTTTGTTGGTTATAAGCAATAGTAGTGAATAACAGGTTGAGTGTAATAATCGGTTGTTTACAATCTATCATATTAAAATACCAAAATCATAAATTATGTTCAAGATACTTTTGTGAAAGTAAAGTTGGTCTTTCTTAAAGTAAACACCGGTGTAGCGTAGTAAAGATTAATAAATTCCAATTGAAATAAGGTGGATTGGATACGATGTTACAATGTCAGATACAGATTTGGGAAATATATTAGGAAGGAAGAACTTAATCGTTTTTCCATAAAAGCAACATTTTAGTCGCCTACATATACAACATGTCTCACATGATGTTACTTTGATAGTGTATAAAACGAAAAAAGCAATCTATGTGCATTACTCTACTATTTTCTGTCTGGGAAAGTACGATCTTGGTTAGTTCTAACACATAGTTTCTATCGTCTAGAAGTTAAGTCAGATGTGATAGATTTATATGTGAAAATTATATTTGAATAATCTCAGCGATTGAAATCTAAATAATTTCCATGTTTCGTCCAGCTAACTTGTCTAGACTTCTTCACGCTAACAATCAAAATCATCAAGAAAATATGTAGCTTTTTAACAATCAAAACTATACTGTGTTAAACCAATCATATTTGGATGTTGATTTTTGTAAACTATGATAACATGAATCAGTTAAATGCGAATCATGTGAAAAATTTCAACTACATGTAAATAATTAACTGAATGAGTTTTTTATCAGAAGGGGTTTTGTGGAGATTTTTAGAAATTTCAATAGTCGAAATCATGAGTTAATTGAAGCTAGACCACCATGAAAAACCTGGAAGCACTGAACGTCGTCTCGTCCTAGTATGGGACTCCTCAGCAGTGCGCACCCGCGATCCCCCCCGCGAGATTCGAACCCAGGATCTGTCAGTCTCGCGCGCGAGGGCTTAACCACTAGACCACTGAGCCAGCATCCAACGGTGTTAATGTCTAACTTCAACCAATCCACGAAATTGCGCCACCGTACACCTTTGTCTTCAATGAGTTGATATCTCACAACAGACGTGGTTGAACTCCACTGGTAACGGCTTCTCACTAGAACTCCAGGAAATCCCTCTTGAGGTCAGTCACTAGTAAGCAGATGATTATTATCAGGGGGGTTATGTGGAGATTTTTTAGAAATTTTAGTAGTTGAAAGTCGAAGTTAGACATTAACGCCGTTGGATGCCGGCTCAGTCGTCTAATGGTTAAGCTCTCGCGCGTGAGACTGATAGGTCCTGGGTTTGAATGAGTTTATAGCAATACAATTATGTATTTGATGATTCTTCAATTTGATATGCACATCGATGATTCAGAACAATTTTTCAACCTTGAACTTTTATTTATTTATTCCTTCATATATAACATATTAACACCGTATATCAATAATTAATCGTACACATACATACATATCTACACAGTCACACATATAGTTTTGTTATTCAGTTAATTATTTACATGTAGTTGAAATTTTTCACATGATTCGCATTTAACTGATTCATGTTATCATAGTTTACAAAAATCAACATCCAAATATGATTGGTTTAACACAGTATAGTTTTGATTGTTAAAAAGCTACATATTTTCTTGATGATTTTGATTGTTAGCGTGAAGAAGTCTAGACAAGTTAGCTGGACGAAACATGGAAATTATTTAGATTTCAATCGTTGAGATTATTCAAATATAATTTTCACATATAATGATTTCTCTATACTCGGCGCCCAATTTCTGTCAATATATTCGTTCTAATCTTGACGAATATTTGTATAAATTATTTTCGAGATTAAATAATTCTTTGAAAAGTGCCAAGAGTTTTGTTACTGTTCGAAAACAAAACAGCTGCTGAACGTTTTTTAATTTCCTAGGGATGAAGCATCTTACAAGTGGCCATATATTTATTCGTTCTAGTGTGATTGTGATGCGCAGGTACTCAGTAACGACATTTTACCGGATAAGCTCTCTCCGAGCTCCAGTTGTTTCTAGGTACATATTGTCAAGTCTGAGTTTATGTCAATCAAAAGTATGAATACATCTGACAGTAAACTTTTTAAAATGCGAAACACTACTGTGAAATTCTATTTCTAAGCCAACTACTTAATTACGTTTAACTTTTCTTGTCTAACCTTACAGATTTAAGAGACTCTACTTTGAACCATGCTTGTCGTTTTACTGATAGTGAAATGAATGTTGGAAGTCCCATTCAAAATACACATATATTGAATGACAAGGGGATTTGTAAATATAAATCTTTGAAAAACAATCTAGAACCAGATCTTGCATTTTCTGAGAGTTTCACCAATTCTGTCACGTTTCCCGTTTCTTCCTTTCAACTTGGACCTTCCACCTCACGATTAAACTACGTTACAATCGAACAGTCGCCTAATTTTTCAAATCGCGATTCTCTGGTTCCTGGTCTAAGTGTAGTTGAAGAGAAACAATCAACGGAAAATAACAAGCTAAATTCGTCAAACTCTAACTGTGCCTTATTTTCTAATAATAGCAACCAAATTTATAAGAGTGAGACAATTACTTCAGGACCACTGAAATCCACAATATCATCAACGTCCGCAGAGACAAAAAACACTGATTTTACCCATAATTTGAATGCAAGAACAGTTAAACCTGTTTATGTAAATACCCCGTTAAAATCATTTAGTGGGAGGAGTTGTCAGAGGGCTCCTGTTAGAAGGCAGTTTTCTGAAACAGCAGGTATGGATTTTAGCACAAACTTATTCATGCTCACATTTTCATGGAATTTACTTGATGGAAACCTTAAAAACTCTCGATATTTTCAAATTTTTAGATATTATTAGTATTCAGTTTTACTAATCTCCCCTTTATCTTTAAGCAGTAACACATTTTGTGACATATAGATTGCCCTTTTTCAGTCCAATAAAATAGGCATCTGAAGTTCACTTGTATGTGGCAGAAATTTGCCTTTAGTGAGTCCTCAGAGCTTTGTGTTGGGCCCCACTGAACCGTAATAATATTTGTCTAGATCAATTAAATCTGTAAATATGCGAGCACTGTAGTCGATATTAAAAACTTCGAAAAATTGTTTTGTGTTCTTCACTAGGGGATCGCTCATTACTTTATGGCACTTGAATATCTCTTTGTGCTCTGATTACAGTCTGAAATGTACGTTCCTCATCGGTGACATCTTAATCTGAGAGTTATTAAGTGTTTGTATGTATCCATACATACATATATAGCAACCTGAAGCAATAATTTAAATTGAAATCTATGACGTTTGAGGTAAATTGTCCTCACTGTGTCATATACTACTTAAGATGCGGATTATTATTGTCTATTCGTCTTTATTCGGCGTAATGTTTATGATCAGATATTAAATATTCGAGTAAATGCTACTAAGGAGTTTTCGATTTAAATAAACTAGTGTTTCTTATCGATTGTCCTACTGACACAACTTTTGAGGACATTATCAATCTACGCACAATTACAATGCTGCGCAAGCCTATAACTTATCTTATTAAATGGTGTGGTCTAAGGGATAAATTTTAGGTCTAGATAAAGTCCTATAGATAAAATTCCAAATTCCCTTGTTTTTTTATTGCTTTCAGTAGTTTATTTAATGCAATAAAATTCCAATCATTTTTAAATATATATAAATTGAACCTTGATGAATGCGACAAACAAAATATCCACTCATGTTTCATTGAACGAGAAGTTTAATTACATTAAGGTGTCAAGAAATATGTCACAATAGCCAGCTATAATTTTCAAAGCAATGTAAAATCCCTTGTTATGACAAACGGAATAATAATAAAGGTTACGGTCCAAATAAGGACACAATTAAAGCACACGTTATTTCTCTCAGTTCATCGTGCTGTTAGAGTGAAATAGCGAATAAAACGGCAACAGAATTACTACTTATTTCTTAATCATTTGAGTTATTTGATGTTGAAACATCCATTTAGACATTCTTGGTGAACGATCAGATGCCATCATGGCACAGTTGTCCTGGATTCGATGGAATCATAACCACAATTATCTGTCTTTCGACTCCCTCTAAACTCAGCAATTTCATAAGCGTAAAACAGGACGTGTTCTAAGTGATCTAATATTGACCTTATTACAATCAGATGCCACAATTTATAAGGAATGTTCTAATAAACGCGAATATTTTCCTTTGATGATTCTTTGTTACTTGCATAAAGCATTTTAGTGACGTTAGGAGATGCAGTACTATGATATCTATGGTCAAAATAGTTTTATATATCATTTGTTCCATCGTGTGGTGAGAAATAGAGGTTTTACAGCTATCATCATATAAAATGTGATCGGTGGACGAACCTGCCAATGATATTTTCCTTAAAACAGTTTGCCTTATTCCTTAATCAACTAAATTGAATTCTATTAGAACGCATATTATCAATCTTTAATCATGGATGGTTTTTAACTATTGGTAAGGCTAGTTGAATTCCATAGTTTATTTCTTTGTTGGATATGTGTTGAATAAATTCCTTTTTCCCTTTCTGGCGCGCGCAGGTGCATTCAATCTTTGTCTAGGTTTCTGGATTCATAATCTTTTATTTCAGTAATTTATATTTTCGCTGCCTAATTTTCTCTGTCACCACCACTACTGTTACTCCTATTACCCTGAGGTTTGCTGTGACAATTTCATTTCCCTGTGTTAATGGGATATGGCAACTTAAACCGATGTACACACGTACCGTGGTTCTACGTTGCGTTTTGCTGATTGACTGATGTGTCACATGCAAATTTATTAACCCTCAATCTTATAGAATTGATCTTACAGTTCTTCCTTTCAAACTGGTCAGTCCTTGCATCGTCTAAAGACTTGTAGTGACGACCACCTGTATCAATTGTGACGTTTGTCTATTCAACCCTTACTGATATGTTATAAATGCGAACACTATTTATGGCGAAGTTTTCCATTCCTCTGAAGTACTTCATATCCTTTGATAAGTGAACTTTAGTCAATTCGTAATATCCAAAAGAATTAAATTCATTTAGATCTTTTTGTCAGTTTAAAATGTTACACAAGTTTCATTGTTCTTTTTTCTATTTATCCTTGAGATATTTTTGTGAAACCTTTTAAATTATCGATAATCATAATTCATATTTTATTACCACTACTGTTAATTTTCTTTGTCAGTCATTTGTATATCGTTGTATTATTAATGAAATAAACAAATGAAAGCTGCTGCGATGCTGAAATCTTAATAACTAGAATTCAGTTCGAACTAGTTATTATGTATATAGAAAGAGGAGTGCCTGAACCAATAGAGAATAAGTTCATATACATTAAAAAAAGAATGCTTATTTCGTACCTAAAAACTCCATGAATCAACAAAGCTACATTCATAACATCTTTAGTAAAATGTGCCAAATGAACTTTTCACTTTTTCGTAATTTCAGTCTTTTTTCATTTTGATTTTAATTATGGATTTTTTATTGAAATAAGTCTTATGGTCCTTAATCTATTGTTTCTCTTCAAAGTAAAAAATGCATTTGAAGTCCAAAGGTTGGTTACGTTTTATGATCAAACTGATCGAATCCCTGGTTTACAGTTTGATCACTTTGTTCCTGAGATTACCAGTTCGACTACAGGAGAGCTGTCAGTGGACAAATCTTCGCGTCCCATTACTTCTATATCTGGTCGCTCTCTTGTGAGATCTAGTTCAGTACGCACGGAAATCGAACAGTGTAAGCGTATTCTAAATCAATTGAAATGGGACGTGAATCAACTTCCTCCCATACCTGTCACTCGATTCACTCCCTCAATGAAGGATCTAGATACCTTAGATTTGAATCCCAAGGTTCTTCAATCAGCACCTTTATCTTTTGTAAGAAGTAGATCACAGGTTAGTATGTGCAAATTTGTCCCAAATCTTAAAAATTTACCCATATTTCGGTGGGAAGTACATGTGATACATAAGTGTTCATAGACTTATAAGCATTGTTACCTTGTGTAATAAAGTAGGATTTTCAATTTATATTGTTAACACAATTATTACTTATAGTTTCAGGAAATATTTTAGTACAGTGTGTTAACAGATATAATAATAATGATAATGATTTTATTCAGTCTTACATGTTTAGTACGATACGGATTCCTCAGCTTGTTGTATTTAATCACATTCCTGTTTTTCTTATAAGTCAAAAATTATATATTCAAATAAATAAGTAAAATTATGTAAAATCGAATGAAATTTTCATTATAAAATAATAATCTATACAACATTAGGTGAGCAATATGTGCATGAGCATAAACCTTTTTCATTAGATCAGCCCTTACAAGCTGTTCGTTGCGTAGCGTATGTGATAAATACAGTATTCTAAAGAGTTTTTTTTACTTCTGTTTACGTGCACAGATTCTAATGTACTTACACTTCGTTCTACCAGAAGATAAAGTAACACTTACGAGTTGCTTGCAAAGTTTTAAACACCTATTCGCAATCATATTTATAATGAAATGAAAAATTCACGTCATACTTTACTAATTACCTTCAGGATTCTTTGCAACAACGAAGTCTTTTCCCAAGAGAATAATGGGGAACAGTATAGGATAGTAAGCAGTGTACAAGAATTTGTAAATTGTGAGCGTTTCGAATAATGCTGTAGGCATTCTGCCTCTGGATATATATATATATATATATATATATATATATATATATATATATATCAGCCGGTTTTTGCTTACATAGATTAACGCTTGTTCATTGTTCTGGATTAATAATGAATAGTACGAAAACACATATACAGATTGCTGTAAGTGTTCTTATCCTATCTAATTTCAGCTCCGAAGACGTGCTTTGTTCATAGATAGGGATCAGAATAAGAGAACTATTACGTATTTAACTGCATCCGACCGAAACAGCATTCCATATTCCACTGAACTTTCACTATCCGAGACAATTTTATTCTGGCGTCAGTGCTTTGGAAACATTAATTTTGACAGGTCTGCGAGACGTCGACATCAACAAGCTGACATAATTGCGTTCAATGAAATTCCCTTGTCCAATATGAATCTTCGTCCTCTCAGACTTCCTAGAGGATGGCGTTCTCACAGTCTACATTATGATCCTGCAGTGAGTCTTCGCATTTGTAATGTAATTATCGTGGTTAGGGTGAGACTACTTGAATGTTGTTTTATATAATATAGAGTCTACTAAATTGTTTACCACACTTGTGTATACCTAAATCTTTGAACTACTTACCTAGTTTTGTTTGGAATTTTTCTTAAAATTTACAAAAATTACAGAAAATTTAGTATCTTAAATTTGAGTTTCAGTGTGATGAAGTGTTCGACCTATGTAGTGACAAATCGTATAGAAATTCTTTCACTTAGGATTTGAAATGTTCTCATGATTACTTCTTCTGAAGCATCTGTTGTCAATGATTATGATCACTTTCATAAGATGACACGTTTTGTTATGTTACCAATGAGTCATAAATTTTATTATATGCACCCACTCATAGCTTATATTTCAGAGTTTAAATGAATGTTCGGAGACTATAGATATTGAACATTCGATAGTGAGGAACTTATGAAAAGTAACTAGTTCCAATAGTTCATTCTTGTTTATTAGATACGTATTGTTTTTAATCGTGTTCACAAATAATTTTGGAACTAGCGTTTTTTTTAAATCGGTGTTTTTAAGCTGTCGAGTGTTGATGTTGTTAATTTCTGAAAAGTCTTTGAATTTTTCATCTGAGTTTGTTTCATGCTTCCTTGTAAAGTATTAGTTGAAATTTTCTTCTTTTTTCGCATAACCAATAGATTCAAAGTTGTTTGTTTTTGAATCTTTATTTTAGGCAATGAAATCATTCACACTTTACCCTCGACAAGTCGTTCGACGTCCTGGTACAACTGTCTGTTTACAACGTCAACAGTCAGCTGGGTCGACTTCATCAGCTGTAGTCAATAGTTCTTCACTGCAATATGGTACTCCAGTAAAGAAAACTATTCAATTTCTGTGAGCGATTCACATGACTCTACTGAATCTGACACTGTTGAGGCGATTAATTTAGATAGTCAACAGGTACAAAATGATCCTGACAACGTACCTGTTGATGCAGAGCATCTAACTTCAAAATGGCCTACCAGTTCTTCGAATGTTCTTGTTGAAGTTCAACCTAGTACACAGAGTCATGGTAAGTTTCACGCGTCTATCAATAAATTACAATATATTTTAATAAAAGATTAAGTAGTCTTATATCTAATATCTTCCAGCACTAATAGTACATACTGTGTCCGTTAAAATAGCATAACAGTTAAATATTCAGACTATATGTCATTGTCACAATTAACATAATCAACAAGCACCTGTGGATTTCCCGTTCAGCCAATGAAATATATCTAGGTCTCACTTAACAATACTATTTATTTAAGCAACAGATTTCGCCAGATGTCTGCTAATGTTATCGGATTTTAATTGGGGTTTTTGCGGTTGACCAAAAGGGTATGTGAGTGTGCTCACTAGATATGTCTTATCCTCTGTATTTATGTGAGAAGTTGGTTTAAATCAGCCAAAAAGCATCGTTTTACTTACTTTTGGAGATAATAACTAGTGTTCAAAGTGTTCTATTCTCAGTTTGTTTAAAATATCTGACTTCATCAGCATATTTATGTAATTGAATTTCATCTGATAAAAGCTACAATTAGTTGACGTCATACGCTTGTATTGTTTTAGTATCTTAAATAATTACTGTAGCTTTTAGTGCTCACCTTACTATTATAAAAGAATAAAGATTAACTTTATATTTTTTGCTGTTTGTCTTCAATTATTTGACATACAAATGAGTGATTTTAGGATAGTTTGTATCTATCTACACAGTCATGGTAAATTCGAAAGTTTAAATCTTATAAAACACTTTGGATATAGCTTTTCATTTAGGGGACAACGGAAAAAGAAGTTCATACCGACTTTAAAGTATTAAAACACTGTTAAACCGCAAATCGTTTCTTTTTGAATTAAAAATAGAAACTAACTTAGCTTCATCACGATTCTTTTGTTTTGTTACCGTTTTTGAATTCACTAATAGGATTAATCGTGATAACAATGGTTTGTGGTTGGGTAATAATATGAATCGACTGAATTTAGAAATGTAAACCACAGAATCTGACCTCAGTAGTCTAAAGGTCAAGATATTTCTGTAAAGCCTCAAGGTCTTCAATGTTATCATTAGGAGGGCTGTGGATCTCCTTTGATAAAGAGTTTCATGCAAAAACGAAAAGAAGTTGTCTTGTGATTCTTGGATTTCAGTGGTTTTCTTGGTAAGACCAGTCTGTAATGCAAACTATGCTGTTATCCATTCCATATCTTGTGATTTTAGCTGTACTCATTATTGACTTTTGTCTATTTTTCTCATCTATACCACTGTTTGTTTTAGTTTCATCCAATTTGTGTTAACCAAAGAAGTTAGTTTTCGATTACTCGTATTTTTACTCTGACTTAGAAGGGTACTTGACATTTTTTGTGACGATTAGATTTTGTAATCCCGTGGAATATCTAGACACTGTCATGGTTTCTCGATTTTCTTGATGTGGATACTCACCAGTTTAGAGTGAGCATCAAATAATTTAAATAACTAGCTTGAAATAATTCTATAGTAGTTAATATGTAAGCAATCGAATAATTATTCAACTTAGCATTCCAATTTTTTATTATTTATTTATCTGTTTTTAGATTTAAACGAAAAAGTAGATGAATATATAGAAAAAAAAGTGAAGGATATAGAGATTACCTCGTTATGTAACTATTTGTCTAATGATGGTTTTACTGTCAATTCGCAAACACCAACAACTCATCCTCTGGATAAATCTAGTTTAAATAAGATTGCTAATGGTCATTACAGTGTTGAGTCTAACAAACCGCTTCTTACAAAGACTAGGTAATTGCTCAATGTGGAAACTAAAATTTAAATTGTTTATATATATATAGCTTAATTGATGTCCATGATTTTCATTTCTCATAATCGAATTCTAGAAGCTACGTAGCTTTAAATTTTTACGCTTCGTGATGTCAAAATCAAAGAAAATCAATGAATAAAACTGGTTTGATTCGAAAGGAGATTGAATGCATCCGAATCATTGTGATTACTTCTTAGCTATATCTTTCATGCTCTTTAATTTCTGATTTTTGTTATCCAAGGGAACTTAGTTTTGAGGTATACAACTCTTCACATAATTCAAATTAAGTCAATAATTTAATTAATTTATACCATATCTTAATCTAATCAATCTTATCTCATTTCATGAAATATGCTATCATATGCTAGGGTAAACGTTAACTTCTAATACAGAAAACCCTGTCTACCTATCTCAATCAGTGTAGATGAATAATCTTATTAACTGAATTACACTCATAGATTGAGAATTTATTCAGTTGAGGATTACATTACTCATACTTAGAAATCAATTACTTCTATTCTACTCTTATCCTACATATAATGAGTAGTGTAGAACAAGGCATATTGTTGCTCAAAATACTCGCTAACTGATGACCCGTTAAATATCTAGCGGGCAAAATAGGTTATTTAAAAAAATTCATGTATGTTCTTAAATTTGAAAAAAAGTCATCGTTTCATTGTTCCTTGAAAAAAAATGAAATAATGACGCATAATGCCTAATTCTATTTTCAATTGATCTACATGAAAATTCATTATTTCAAACTTATTTATTATCATTATTATCATGTTTAGAGGGTGTAATCGTTTAACTCGTCAAGCTGGATTTCGTCGTCGCCCTGCTATGGCCTCTGGTTCTTATGGTCAGTCAAAAGGTGTAACTTCACTTAAAAATGAAAAGGTGGCTAGTTCTCGTGATAATCACTTACAACCGGAAGTTACACAAGAGATAAAAAGAAGTGATGTAGACAGTAATTTACAGGTAAATTTATGTCCATTTAACTGGTTGTGACTTTATCTTTTCATATTACTACTTAATCATTAATTTTTAAATCTTTTAGACTTCGTCCAGTGTTTCGAAACCTATATCAACAAATCCTATTTCAGTCGATCAAGCTGTTGGTAAATGTTTATTTTTTATTATTTATTTATTTATTTAAACACATAAACATTGGTACAAGGAGGCACCAAATAGATATGCGCCACATAAATTATTCGATTTGTGCGAGGGCTGTGATACTGCTCGGATGCCCAAACCGAAGCAGGTGGTTTTCTTAGGAGGCCACACCCAGAGCCTTTCAACCTAAAGGTCTGATCCACGAGGCAGTGGAGCAACGTCAGGAGATGCAGTCCCGTGATACCCGGTGACCAACAGTTGGTTCATACGCCATTTGTCCCTTCAGGGTACTGGAGCCCATGTGCACCATCGGTTTGGGATGCGGTTAAAGCGCCGGACATTCGCTCTTCGTCCCCTCAATTTCGTAGACAACACCCTCGCCACGAGAAGGCAATGAGTAGGACTTCCCTGGCAGAGGCTGTATACGCGTGGCCGTGCGAGAGCATTTCGAGAGGGAGGGTGGGCCCACCTCACTCTCGGTCATACCAGGGAATTTGGGGGCAATGTTTATTTTATCATACATTATTTGGTGACGTTTTTATCGAAAATAATCATTCTTGCTTCTTTTGAAATTTCTGTGCTTTATTTTTCACTGGTGGATTTCATTCTACTATCTTTTCTTTCCGAACTTACTAAACAAATGAATTTACGTTTTTTTTTCGGATAGACAATTTACTCGCTCATCTAATGGGTGTTAAATCATTGGCTGATACTGGATTAACTCGACAGCAATGCTTATTTCAGTTGCGTGGTAATGGAAATACTGAAGATTCAGAAAAGTCAGTATTGTTTTTTGTCTATTTATTTCAGTTGCAATGTGTTCAATATACTGTGTTATAAATAATATTCTTTATACATTAAACTATTAAGTTCAAGTAGCCACTAACCTTGTTTAACAGTTTTGATGTTTATACATAAAGATTTTTATTATGATGTTAATATTGGAGGGTCATTCAGTGCTTCCAGGTTTTTAATGGTGGTCTAACATTGATTGGCTCAGGATTTCAATGAAATATGTGTATATTTGGAGTATTATATTTAAAATAAGTATCAAAATGAAGTGTAGAAACGATCATTTTTTGTATGTGTCTTCATAATTTCCAATTGTTAACTATATTTCTTCTATATACGATTGATTAAACATAAATTTGTTGATCTACATATAATCCGAATGACCATCAAAATACTGTAAAATGATATATTCTGTTAGGCTTTTAAGTTATGAAATATGGGATCATTTTCAGTACTCTTGATCATTATTTTTTAAAATATCATCTACCTGTGATTTTATTAATAGCATCACACTAACAATTCTATATATATAGGTCTAATTCGGTAGATTTCATAACATTGCAAAAAAAGGAATCGACAAACAAAACAATTAAAATGATACCTATAAAAGAAGACAAACAAATAAACGATAATGATGTATTTACAATAAAATTGATAAATAACAAATGCAACCAACCGTTGATTATTATTAGTATTATCCGGTAGAGGATCTTTGATGTGAACTAGGGATAGGAAATATTTCACTGGTTTTCAAACAACTTCATATCGTGATATTTAAGGTTAATAATAGTTGATTATTATCAAGAATTAACAGTAAACTATTTGATTTTTGACTACTTCTATCTTATTATGGTCTGTGAACTAGTTACAATCAATTTTAAATAACTTGTATTATATGATTTAAAATAAGTTGTTTTTATATAAGTAATTTAACTGGGAAAAAGTAAATAACCTATTATCTTATTCTCTTTGATCGTTTCTTTCTTTCTTTTTGGAAAACCTTGTAATCAAATTAGTTAATTCTATCAAGTCAGTTCAATTGTCTTTTAAAATAAAATAAAGATAAATGTTAACTTAAAAAGAAGAATATATTTGTAAAATCTCAGCGAATGAATTTTTAAGTAAATCCAACGTTTCGCCTGGCAATCTGGTTCAGGAAAATGTTAACTTATTTAAACATTCTTATTCTAAAGAATTATAAACACCCAGGGATTGTAAATGTAAACGGCTTCAATCTCTTTTGGTAAATCAGTTGAGATAAACATTTCTAATTATTTAAATAAGAAGCGAACTGATATGAATAGTTCGTTTTCTTTTCATTTTGATAGTTACAACAGAGCTTCAATCTATGGTATACAATCCTAGTTGTCTCGTTTGTATAATTTGCCGAAATAAGGGTCAAAGTTCATTGTGTAATTTATCAAACTATTGTGTCGTTATTTATAGATATTTATCTCTTATTATAATTTTAAAATAATAATACTGGTCAGAAAGCCGATTCATCAGTACTCATTAACTGTTTACTAACATATATTGACATTATATTAGTTGATTAATTATTTATAATGTTCTTGGTTTTAATTCTGTGTGTTATAGTCTTGGGTACATTTTGGGCTGTCTAGAGGTTTCCTCTACTTTCAATACTTATCTAGTCGATCTCAGTTTGAGATGAAAATCACTGTTAAGTAATATAAAATTTCTATAAAATCATTTAATTAATTAATTCATTGTTATTGTCTTTTGATTTGTATTTTTTGTATTTTTACCGTTGAAATCACGAACGGATCTTAGCTAGAATATTACTGAAAGTCTGAAAGCAGTGAACAGTTGTTTTATCCTAGTATGAAACTCCTCAGCACTGTAGATCTGCGACTCTGCAAGCAGGGGTATGGAGTTGTCATTATTTCGATGCTTTGAACTCTAACTTGCTTAGTAGTATTGCCCTTTCAAGTATCTAATCATTTAGGTTTTTCGAATTCAATTGTCTTTCTGTATTAATAATTGAAAGTTTTGTTGTTCAGTCAACATTCAATTAATATTATCACTAGTATTGTTATCAGAACACAAATTGAACGTAGGTAATGCTTTCTAACAATTAACACTTGATTATCGTGTTTAACAACCAGAATATATTAATTATTTTACCGTGAATATTTAAAAGACGTACCGGTCAAATAATTGTTTAACCTATTATAAAGAATTATATATCTTTCAGGTATTGTGATCAGAAGTGAAAATAAGTGTAGAAAAATTATGATCAACTAGTTCAAATTAACCAAACCTTGTAGATGTGGTTACATAATATATTATCTATACGATGGTATAAATAAAACTGTTTTTTTTTCTAATTTCAACTTCATGGAAATATATACATTACTATAGGTTAAACACATAAGAGGTTGTCTCTTAAAATGAAAAGAGAGAAGGTCACATATAATGTTCATTCCTTCCATGGATTTTTTAATATTTATTCAAGCTTTTTTGTTGAATTTTAATCAAGTGCTAATATAATTATAACATAATTAAGTAATTTTAAGGCTATGAAACTACTGTAGTGGGTGAGAACTTAGGTGGGGAAAACCAATTTATTGTTTTGTGCAAAATTACATCATTTTTAGTAAAATATGAAAACCATGCGTTAAATACATTGTTTGTATATCTTGCTTCACTTGTACTTCACATGCTTCATGATTCTTTCAATTCTGTTGTTATTAAAATAGCTCTCTGTATCTCTTCCTGTTCTTTTTAATTCAGTCTTCTGTTGGCAGGCATTCCAATTCCGATTGGTGCTACATACTACCTATATCTGTCAGCATAAGTAGCATATGTCACACTATTACCACTGCTGATTTTTATCATTATGATTATTATCTGCTTTATTCAATATTATATTTTTGGTACAATATAGAATTCTCAGCGCAAAGTATTGTAACAAGTTTCCGTTCCTTTCTTCTTGGTCGGTCCTGGCGATAAATATTGAGTGATCGCCAGTTAGATATTAGCACTTCAGTGAATGAACATCTGAATAATGTGCATTCTTTTCGATGTATATTGCCAGCAACCACATTGTCTCTTATTGAGTTTTTTGTAACTTTGACAACGAAAGGTTGTATACTTTTCAGAAACGCAACAGGATAGGTTATGCGATTAACGAACATAATGATATATTGAAACAAACAAAAATAGATAACTTGTTGAAATATCTAGATGGCAGGAACAGGTAGCCCAGATGCTCAAGCAGGCCGCCGTTGTTCTGATTGATTTACAAAAATATATATAAATTGGTGGAATATTAGCAAAACCATACCTGTTCATTTCTTCGAGAGTATTCCAATGAACTTGAAACTAAAATATGGCACCGCTCTAAACAGTACAATATTTCGACACTTAATTAGTTTAGGTCATACTGTCAACATTATTAATTCTTTCAGAATTTTTAATAGAGAAGAAAACTCAACTTCACAACATTCCACTGATTCGTCATTCCCAATCATTTAATTCTTAAAACTTACATAAACTTTTAAAATCTATAGTCATCAGAAAATTTATCTGATCAATGTTTAAATTTTAGGTAATTACTGTTTTATGTTTTCTACATCTTAAATGACTGTATATATATATATATATATATATATATATATATATATATATATATATATAGTACTGAAATTTGCTATCATTACAATTGTTTTCATTTACTATTGTGTATGGCTTATTATTATGTTATATTTCAATACGAATAAGGTTGTAAGCAGATGATGAGAACCTATGAGAGTTTATTCTATTTTGCATTACTTATTTCCACTACTATTTTTTAGAACTCTATCACAATCACTGAGTAGGGATGAGATATCCAAACGCTCCACATTGTTTACTTTGTTTAATATTATCCTTATTTTTTTAAAATAATAGTTGGGAGAATAGGTCATGTTCTAACAGTCTTTTACAAGAGTTAATTAAATTATTTGATTAGATAAGTTATATCGTCAATTTTTTTTTCAAATCTCTGAAAATAACAACGGATTTGTTAAATTTCAAATTTATTACCTACTTTATCTCTGTTTTTTACATTTTGATTTTTTCTTTGTTTCAAAAAAATATATATAGTGCTGAATGGGATATTTTGTATGCCGTCACCGAAGCTGCCACTGATAATGCTACAGTAATACCAGAACCAACTGAAACTATTACTACTAATATTGCTACTATTACCACTACTACTGCTACATCTCAAACTGACGGTCAACCAGCTCAACTCAGATCTGCTAGTCCTGAGACAAAAAATCGGTAAATGTCATCAATTTTAGTGTATCTATTTATTCATCTCCCTTAGTTATCGAATCAAGCTAGACAAAATCTTTTTACATTTTTCTCATTATCAAATTTTCATTTTCTCTTGTATGTGAACAGTTGATCGTTAGGTTTTTTTATTGTTAACGGAGAAAAGGCCAAACGAACGGTAAACTGTTAAAAAAAGATCAAACATTTTCTGAGAAAAAAATTTCGAATGGAATGTGCTTACGCAGCATACATTTTAGATAGTAAAAAAATAGCATGACTCGGTCGCGCATATTTACTTGAAAATTATTAAAAGATGGTCGGAAGCAGGTTCAACAAATCGATAGTACTAGTAATAATAAAAACAAAATATTAATAATAACGAAAGGTAACATAATTAGAGTAAAATTAAAACAGATTTTAAACTAACTAGCCATCTTAATGTGTAAATGAGACAAAGTTAATCATTGGTTAAAAATGATGATGATTCTGTAATTTATTTACCAAGTAAGTTTCACGTAACTTGTCATACTGTTTGTATAAGATCTAGTGATACTACTTGGTTGTTCAAAGGATAAGGTAGGTGGAGTATGGTTCGAATGTACAAACTATGTCTTCAAACTCGATTAATTTAATCATTAAGCAACTGGATCACAACTACAAAGTTTATTTTCAAGAATGGAACATTTAAAAGGCAACTATAATGTAATTTAAGATGAAGTGATAAAAATTGATGGAGAAATTAACAGGAATAATAATTCTGTTATAGCTTGATTAATAAAATTAATTTTACAGTAATCATGATGATGATTCATTTTTGGTCATCTGTTTGATACTTGTATCGTTAAATATTCAAAACCCTACTGAAATGTCATTGAAACAAATGTCATTCATAAAGTATTGAATACAGTATACCACATTTGCTAGTCGAAAGCATAATAAGCGTTCCATACTCAACTTTTATTTAATATCATCTATGTATTGAATTTGACAGAAATGTTTTATCTCAGGAAAAAATCAAACCGAAAAAACAGTATTTTTCACAGAAACTTCAATATATACATATAAATTAAAAAACGTTATAGTAAATAATGGTCACGTACAATCCAAATATAATTTCTATAACAAAATTCTATTAAGGTGTACTTAATCACAAATCAATTTTCTACGAAAATCACACTTAAAAATGGTGGCTGTTAGAGAATGTTTTCTCATTAGCTAAAAAAACATTTAGTTGTATTTCAAAATTGATAAGTCTTCTTACTGAACGCTTGAATCGGTTTTCTAAGCTCTTCTAATAACCCAGGCTAAATCCACACGACAGCTTGAACACGAGACAAATGGCGTATAGTTTGAAAAAGAACGCTATACTCCAAGGTTGATTTATGTATAGAAAATCGAAAGCATTTGCAGTATTTCGGACGGTTTTGAGCTTCTGGAAGATTCCATAACGCTGTTAAATATAGCAGCGGAATAGTTAATCATCCAATTAGAAATATGACACATAACTCTTAAATTTCTAAATGTTTCTGATAAACTACTCAACACGAATCGGATAAAATGTTTCTCGACGTTTTCAGGGCCTCTCTGGACTTGGTTAGTGGAATACTTTGGATTTCCCTAACATCTTTCTTCTTTCAAAAAAATAAGACTTCATCTTTGGTTCTAATTGTCACATTAGAAATATTTAATGAATATTTATTGAACTTTATTGTTTATCAAATCTGATAATAATAAAAATAAAATTTCACCTTTTTCTTTGTTTGTGTATACTAGCGATGGTACTTATCAAGACGATGCATTTAATAATTTAGATGAAGATTCATGGGATTTACAAGAAATCAGTATCAAAGCACGCTTTCAATCTACTAATGAGAATCAAGAGGTTGACGATGAAATTCATACTCAAGGTAATTAATTTATTAATATTATTATCTTTTTACATGTTTGTTAGGTGATGTTAAATAACTCATAAACCGTATTAAGTAGAAATTAGCCTTAACATCCATTTATTGGTTTAAAATGTTTTCCGTCTTCATTTCATTTGTGTTAATTAGTTTATTGGGATTTTTCATTTGAGTGAGGTTTGTTCAGTTCGATAAAGTTGTTAAGTAATAATCACTGAATGTAATCGGTGTATAACTAGATAAACTCGATTATGGCATTGATCTCTGATTTCTATCAAATAAATCTTTTTTAAAGATTTGCGTTTCGAAGTAATTGGGGACTAGGAGAGAAGGAAGCTATTTTTTCTGATATCAAATTATTATCGAATCCACACTAATGATGGTTTTTCATTCTTTTGTTTGAAGGGGAGATGTGTATTTTTTACGGATTGAGAATCAATTGGGAAACTATATAGTGTTCATTTTTTATGGAGAAATATTTCATCGTTAATTGGAACTTCTAATCAATACATACTCACTTAAAATTAGATCTAAGATCTTTATCGAATATTAGTCAACCCTAAAATCGATAATATTTATGGTCCAGATTTTTTTTTAACTTTAGTCAATTAAATTTGTAGGTATCAGTGCCAAGGTTGAACTTAATAGTTTCAAATAAATTGAGCATTAGGTAGAAAGTTAATAATAAATATATTTTTCGTTACATCCCAATGAGTCGAAAAATTGTATTTTTGACGTTTCGTGACTTAATGTAAGCCACTTCTTCTCAGTAAATAAATAACTGATTGTTATAACTTGTGATCTGTGTGCTCTGTTAATGTTTAACGTAACGAAACCGCCAATTAGAGAGCAGTGAATTATCGATCGGACCAATCATGTGTAAAACCCGTACGAGCAGTCTAGAGTACTTATCGGTCCTGCTTCTTGCCTAGCAATATGCATCGTTTATTTATATACCAACCAGACAGACTACATCGTACCATAAAATGGAAAATAACATTTGTACAAGATTTTGTGAGTGTGGGAGGTAGTAATTAATAGACAGGGCATAATTCAAGAATGATAAATCGTATAATAATAGTTCATAGGTCAAAATTAAGCTTATAATAAGAGGAACGTGTATATGAACAGTTTAGTTATTTAACAATTATACGACAAAAATATACATATAATATTAGTTCATAAATGAATCCTAAAAGTTACCATTCATTATTCTTATCAGGGCATAACACTGATTATTCATTTACTTTGAAAAAGTTATCATAAAACGTCAGAAATACAACTTCTTTATTCTTTGAGATGTAACATGTTAGTCAATTCATTGTATATATTATAACTTCCTATTAGAATTTAATCTGAAATTCATAAACTACCTACATTTCATGGTGTATTATATCATATATCGAAAATCATTCTTCAAAATATAATAGTTTATTTTCGAATATATATATTTTGAAGAATGTTTTCCTATTATAATCTTTTCATTGTGTTATATTCAATTGATAATCTAGTTTAATAAATATTTCATTATGTACTTTTACATATTAAATGTCAATCTTAATACAATCGAAAACAATATTTGTGTTATTACATTCAACTGTTCTTTCTTTTCAAAAAAAAATATTGTTAATGTTCTGATTTTAAGAAACTTTATATTTTCTATTTTTAAAGTTCTAATCGTTAATCATCTACTCGCCCTCAATTTTTGTTTTCTCTTCCAAATAAATATCTTAACCATTTATCCAAAAAAATAAATGTATATATTTATTATTCGAAAAATATTCTAGAAGCTGTGGCTAATCGATCCAATGACTCTGGTTCCGATGGTAATGGTGGTAATAATTCATCGTCGAATTCATTACTTTGGTTTTTTCGTAAAGGTTTTAGACCTTCAAAATTACAACAACAACAACAACAACAAAATCGTCCATTATCAACTGCTCCTATATATACTATATCATTATCACCATGTTTTCCATTTACGTTTCGTTTTCACTTGAATCGTTTAGAGTTGGGATATATTTTTGATAAGTAAGAATTAAATTTTCTTTTTCTTCTGTTTTTCTTTGTTGTTGTTATTATCGTTATAAAAGGTATACTTTTTCAATTGATCATGTTAATAAAGTAGTTATAATTAATTTGCATTTATGTCATATTCTCCCCCCCCACTCATGTTTTAAATTTCCTATGGAAAAGATACTTATTGTGCAAAATCGTGAAAAATTGAGACAGTTTCATTATTTAAAAAAAAATAATTACTAGGTAAAAAGTTTGTATATATAAAATAAAAATGGGATTAGTTTAGTTTAAGTTAAAAGCTTGTTTTATTGTCGCCAACATTTGATTGCACTCTTAATGTTAATTTAATGGATACCTAGTTTGTCTTTAAATTAAAGTAAATTAGTAAATTAAACAAAATGTATTATGCATAAAAGCGTTTGTACATGTATTTCTATTTTGTTTGTAATTTTTGAACTTGTGCCAAAGATTTAAACATAGTGTTATATCAATATATTTATTAATTATCATAAGATGTTAGGTGGTTGGAAGGTAGGTATTCGATAGGTCATTCTGAACTTAGATTTCATGCTAGTTGATACTCATGATTTCAAGGTCCCTGAAGTTTTCTATATGATTCGAATATCACGTCAACTAACTTATCAGTCTAAGAATCTACTCATACGATTTTTACAATTGATTGGTCACTAACTAACGACTATTGTTATATTTATGTAGTTATTTAATGCTGATCGAATTTTATCGATCAAGTTACAATATGGATACTCATCTATGTATTTGAAATCAGAAATGTTAGCAAGTGTGTTTTGGAATGCAAAATTTTCTTTTTCAGTGTCTTTAAAAGTTTCATACTTTTAAAAGGATTAATATCAGTTGGAAAACATTTGATAGTCAGCATGCACTGCATAGTCCGGGATTTTGTTTTATCACTACACATCAAACTTCACACAGAATCGAACTCATCACTTAATGGGAAAGTATCGTCTATTTGGAGTTTCTCCCTCAACGTTGTTCCATCAGTGGTTGATGTAGAGTAAAATTGTTTAAAAATCGCATTATATATATTGAAATATAGATTTATGAATGCAGAATATTTACTTCCATCATACTGTGCGTCCAAGTTAATGATTAAAACGAACAGAAAGTTTTTTTAGAGCAAACGCATCTTATAAAGTACGGGATATGAATATGGGATTGCCAGTAAAATTAATTTATTAACTGAGGTTTGTAAATGTTAAAATGATTCATATGAAATGGATACTCGATTCAGTTCTTAAATCAATTGAGATTGTGAAACGAATGATTGAAATAAATATAGGTAAAATTTGTGTAAGGGAAATAATAATGTCAGTACCTCTCGAATCACATATTTGATCAAAGCTTACATGTTTTTTGACACGATACCAATTTAGTGAACGATTGTGAAATAAGAGGGTGTGTATAACGTTCTGAATTTGATAGGCTTACCAATTATATAGCGGTTCGCATCTCACCTGAATGCACTTTGAATGCTGAGAGGGACGTGCGGAGCAGTGTGCGCGAGGAAAGCTGAAACCAATCACTCAGCAAGCACATAGAATGCACTTATATCTAATAATGAAAGCAAGTGGTAGTAATTAGTAATGGTATGGGACTAAGACAAAGATGTGTAAGCAAGAGACTTCGAAACTTTTGCAAGTGTTAATTAGAAAAATGTCATTAATTAAAAGTTATTAATAAATCAGATAAATTGAACTTACGGAAATGTGACAAGCGAGACAATCTGCTAATTAATCAATTGTGCATGTTGACGTATTGGCTGGGGTAGAGGAAGCAAATGAACAAAACTATTGCCAACACTTCGCGTCAATTTATAGTTCTAGTGCCTACTTTTTCTACCGTCTAAAAGTCTAGAAGTGCAATGGATTCTAACTAACATGACAGACTGTTATAATCTCTTTCTTACGGTTATGACCCAACTATTCCTATTACTTAGTATTCTCGGACACCGATTCACTCGACAAGTCCTCAAATCAGAACACGGTTGAACAGGAAAGAGATTATATTCCAAATAACCAGGTTAGATGGAAGTGAGAAGCAAGTAAGAAGTACAATCGGAAAAACGTTAGTATATTTATAGTTTTTACACGAGAATATTCTAGAGTGTTCTCCAAGTATCGACTAGTGCTGATCGGACAAGAATTAGCCAATCAGCTTGCACCAAAGCAATCATGCATTGAGCATGCTTTAATCCAGTCTATGTCCCGCTAACACAGACTATCGGCAAGGAATAATTCATTCTGACTGAATAACCCGTTTAAATAAAATCAGTCAAAATGGAACTTTTGATCATCTTAACTGTACCTTTGTATAGTCATTCTGGAAGATGTTTATGCATACAAGAATGTAAAATATATCATAATAAAGGTTGGAATAATAAATACAGATAGATAGTTCATCTTTTCTTAGTCTTGATTTCACTATCGGTTGGATAGATAATATTAGTTGTAGCTTCATTACACTGAATTCATTGAGATGTATAGTCATACTTAAATATTGAGTTTATTTTACTATTTTGGTTTTTATAAAACCGATTAGTACATTTGCACCTTTTCATGGTACACTTGTAAATTAGATGTTACAACACACAGATCGACATTTTAACAGTTAAATATCTGAAGTAGTTTAAAATCTTAATAATTGAAATAATAATTTGATCTCAGTAAACCCAAGTATGTTTCTGTTTTCCATTTACATTATCTTAATAATCTTGAATATATGTACATATATATAATGAGAGTTACATTACATTTTTTTGTGTGCATCATTAATTTTTGAAGATTAAAAAATTCGATAAATCTTATATGTATATGTGATGTATTTCTTTCTCTACATCATAGAAGTTTTACTATCATGGAAATTATATTATGCTCTATTTTGGCCGCTTTAGTCAGTATTATTGGCTATTATACTTTACGTACAGCAAGTTTTCAAAATTATGGACCATTAGCATGTTTCACTATTGCTGGATGTCATTATTCACTTATGAAAAGTGTTCAACCCGATCCAGCTTCACCAAAACATGGATTTAATCGTTTGATCGTATTCACTCGTTCATTTTTCTTCTGTACTTTTGCTTCTATCTATCTACTGGCTAATTACTTATATCAACCACAAAAATCTGTACCATTTTCAGGAGAAATGTCAAGTATAGAACATACAGGAGAATTACGTTTTGAATCAATTACAACAATATATCAATCGACTAGACAAATGTTACCATTAGATATTGGTGAAACATCAAATGAATTAACAACAGAGAAAATAAATTGGCGTGTGCCTAATTTTTATCATCTTTCTCAATCTTCTAAAATGATTGTTGAACCTTCTTCTTCTCCATCTACTATTAAATTCTATGGTGTTAATTTATCTGTAGATCGTTTAACCTGCTTAGTTAAATATTCATCTATATATGTTCTATTAATATTTCCCATATTGTTCTGTCTTGGCTTGATGCCTCAAATAAACACTGTACTTATTTATGCTTTAGAACAATTAGATATTCATATTTTTGGAGCAAGTGGTAAGTAATATATATATATATATATATATATATATATATATATATATATATATATATATATATATATATATATATATATATATATATATATATATATATATATATATATATATATAAACTGGTTGTCTGTGGGCAACAATTTACTGTTGTTAAACCATACTACAGTCTTCAGTACGACTTTGCTCTCAGATCTTACGTTTCCGCTTTTAGTCTAATTATTCTTCAATCAACCAGTTTGGTGTGATATTACTTAAAAAAACAAACGTTCTAGTCAAGATAGTTGAATTCGCTCATCACACTGGGAAAGATTAACTACTACATCTGAATAACGGCTGCTGTTGGGATGTATGTGTCTATAATTTTAATTTGCTTACCAGAAAATTATAACTTTACTAATATGCAGATAGTGAAATGTTATTAACAGTTAAAACTTCAATTATTTTTTTAGTGTTAAGATCCATATATGAAATGAGTTGTTAAGCTTTTTCATTGTAGATGCATAAAACACCACAATATGACTGTAGGAAATGCAAGAGTGGATCGAAATATAACAAATGAATAGTCGATAATTACTTGCCTAATCACTTAGTTTTGTTAACAAAACTTCATTGTGTTATTTTTTTTACTGAATCTCTTCCATTCTCTTGGAAATATCGAAGCAACATCTAATATCTATAAAATATAAGTTTTCTTGATAAACATAAGAAACATTTTTGTTTGCTTATGAAATGAAATACCACTCTACCATAAAATAGATTATTGAATAATATTTGTATAAGTTATTTGATAAAGACACATTTCTGTATTTGATCTTCAATCACACTGTATTTATTGAGGACTAATGATATATAATTCTGTTGTCTTAACTCAAGTAAGTAGAAAACAGGATTCTAATTTGTTCCCTATGTGATCTAAAATTGGAGAGATTAAAACGTTAAACTATCTCTCTTATAATAAAAATATAAATGTATCATATTTCAATAGGGGACTAACAAATATACTGATCTATATTATAATCTACTGATTATTTTTAATTCATTATATCATATTTCCATTGGTTTATTTGGTCTCACATTTCAGTGATATCACATAGCTCCGCCTGAATTTCTAAAAAAAAGATCTAATTACAATGATCGATAGCATTCGATCTGCACTAATAAGGACTAGACAAGCATGACATTGATCACCACCCAGTGATCAATCAATTGTGATCTAATTACAATGGTTTTTAATCTGTTGTTACAATGTGCTAAGGTATTCGAAAAATCTACTATAAATATTCCATTTTATCACCATTATAATTTAATTCGTGAAATTGATGTTACATTTTTTGTTGAGTCAGAATATTTATAAGCGTTAACAAAAAACTTCCAGTGTGCTCTCATTCATTACTTCACTTACTTACTTACGCCTGTTACTCCCAATGGAGCATAGGCCACCGACCAGCATTCTCCAACCCACTCTGTCCTGGGCCTTCTTTTCTAGTTCCATCCAATTCTTGTTCATTTTTCTCATGTCTATTTCCATTTCTCGGCGTAATGTGTTCTTTGGTCTTCCTCTTTTCCTTTGGCCTTCAGGATTCCATGTGAGGGCTTGTCTTGTGACGCAGTTGGGTGCTTTCCTCAATGTGTGTCCTATCCACTTCCAGCGCTTCTTCCTGATTTCTTCCTCCGCTGGGATGTGGTTTGTTCTCTCCCACAGTTGGTTGTTGTTAATAGTGCCCGGCCAACGGATCTGAAGCATTTTGCGTAGACAACTGTTAATAAACACCTGTATTTTCTGGATGATGGCTTTCGTAGTTCTCCAGGTTTCTGCCCCATACAGTAGAACTGTCTTGACATTTTTATTGAAAATCCTGACCTTGGTGTTGGTTGACAGTTGCTTTGAGTTCCAGATGTTCCTCAGTTGTAACTGTCCTGCTCTTGCTTTGCCGATCCGCGCCTGCATCAGCTCCACCCTGTTCATCAATGATGCTGCCCAAATACGTAAAGGTTTTCATATCTTCCAAATCTTCTCCGTCAATTGTCATTGGATTGGTGCATTCATAACATAAGTTAATTGTTATATATATTATATAAATGAGTCGTTTAGTAAATATTTTTATATCTTTCCTGTAGTCATAATTATTTACTTCATAATTAGTTCATTTTTATGTTCTTTGTGTATTTAGGTACTACTGGACTTTTTTCAGTAATATTATCTATTTTTCGAACATTCATAGTGATTGGTTTGACATTTGTTCCATGTTATTATGCTGTACAAGTAAGTAATTATTAATCATTAAACTGAACTGATACTATTCAAAATTAAGCACTGGGAAAATGTAATCAGTTTATGATCGTACAGTTGTATAGTGTTTAAAGTACTTGACTTTCAACTACTGAGGTCTGTTCGGATTCAGTTTAAGCAATAAGGTATCAGTAGAATACCTAACTCTTGTATTTAAATCATGATTCTAAGCTAAGTGCACAAATCTGTACTTGGTGAAATGAGTTACACTTAGTTAAATCTGGATTTATTTCGTTAATGTGTTACACCTAAAAAAGTAAACAACTTGTACGGAATATTACTAATTTCTAACGAAGATCTTGTTTCATTTTACCGTAGAAGTCTGTCGTTCGAAATAAATTTGTTAGATTCTATCATTGTTCACTTATAAATGTTATGATTAATTCTAAGTGTCGTTGAAGTTAGCTTCTTACTTTCCAATTAGTAATGTTATCAACTGCTTATATTACATTGGCTAAATATCTCAAATGTTTATTTAGTCAAGACACTATAACACAAAGATTTCATGATTCATGCAACTATCACTAAGTTAAACCTTTTCTCATATTCATCATTACATTTAATCATTGCAGCTTGCCATTTTAATTCATTTTTGTATTTTTTTGTTCAAATCTTGCCATTGGTGTTTAAGACTGCAATTGATCAGTCTATTATCAATGGGAAGATTCAAACAAACAATACGAAAATGGATTGAAACTTCACCCCATTGCACAATCTAGCGGCTATCAGGACTCAGTAGCTAAGTGGATAACGCGAGTGCGTTTGGAGTGAACGGCAGTTGGCTGGAGTTCCAGAGTGAACGTCAACTTTGTGACAAAATTGCATCCAGCCGACGAGTCCCAAATAGGATGAAAAGCGCGCCCTGAATTTCACTGCTAGCCATCATTCATCTTGGTTTATAAGCCTGTTATTTGTCTTAAGTAAAAGTTTTGTATCACTAAAGTTTTTTGAGTCATTCAGCCCTTCGATTACATGAAAATAGGATTCATTTAGTTCTGTACTAATTGTCTCAGTTGTTCAACTTTTTAGTGTTTTATTCATAAGTTTGATAAGAAAACCTTTACATAACAATATGCTCTTAGGTCAGGCACTCACATACAGATAGATAAAGCAAAATGAATAGCAAGGACTAATCTCCTTTGATAAACTTTTTAAAATAAAAGATGGACAACAGTTCACGGGTCACAATTGCATATCAGTACAAGTCTCCAAACTTTATACTAAATTAAAGAGAAGAAACAAACTATTACTTGTTCAAACGGTAGTGCAGAACTAAGAAAAAAGAAACAAAAAGGAAAGATAAAACTAAAGAGATACAAATTAGACGATATTCTCAGTTCAAATTAAGATAATGAGTTAATCTATAAGCATTATGTCCACTGAAACTGAGTTATATCACATAAAGTCTTCATCAGTTTATTTTATTTGTCATATGAATCCCAACCTTACTAGTCTGCACCTTTCAGTAGTTTCATAAACTGACTATGCTTGGAGTTTGGTTACTCTCAACCTTTTTATTTTGTATCTTGACAATTACGGGCACATGACATCGTAGCAGACGACATCAATTTGTTCATTGGTTCCATCATAAAAGAATAGTTTTTCCAACGTATTTATGATTTTGCACTTGTAACTTACTCATGTTGTTAGCTTTCAAGGGTAGGACGGAATGAATTGATTTGTAGCCTGTTCATTCTTTGTTAATTGGATAAATATTAAATTGCTTATTCTATCGACGATGAATCATGCGTTGATTCCATCCTACTGAGGCTGATTATACATTTGTTGTAAACTATTCGTATGGAGATATTTTGTATTCCATAGAGAGAAGCTTATCCTTCCATATTCAAAATGCTTTGTGTTAAGTCTGATATCATCTCTTAACTTTAAGTTTATTAGATGATCTCTAGCAAAAGGTTAACTCTTGATAAGTTAATTCAAGGTGTTTTCAATGAAGAATCTGAATGAATAGGAATAATTCTGATTGACTGCATTCAGCGTAGCTCTTTTTAATCTCTAACACTTACATCTGTTATTTCGCTTCTGGCAATTTTTTGTTCCTGTCAAATGTGAAGATTTTTTTTATTATCATGAAGTTGATTTAAATGAATTATCTCCCTCATTTAATTTTTTTTAGAAGTCCGATCCCCAATGCATGCTATTTTCAATATTTTGGGGTATACAAATTGCATTGTGCTTTTTACTAAGTCGTCTACCATCGAATACTATACTTTATGAGACACTTTTTCCTTCTGAACGTCGTATATACTATTGGTATCGTATTCGAATGTTTTTCTACAACGCTTTGCATAAAATAACTGTAAAATGTAATTTAATTTTTCGATCAAAAGAGAGAAAGGAAAAGAAGAAAACACACAGATCTCAATTAACTTCCATCGATAAATCTAATTGGTGGAGACGACTACCTCTACTGTTTCCTAATCTTCGTATGAAATCTACAAATGCATCATTTAAGAGAACTGATGAAAATGTTGAAGAATTTCTCCTTACTCGTCTAACACACACAAGAGAATGTGTAGATGTTGAGAGTGGAGTGCCAGGTCAGTCTAAATAGTAATAATAATAATAATAATAATAATAATAACAATGATAATAAAGTAGTAATCAGGTGTTATTATTTTGACGTGTTGGGTTATTAAACGTTTGCAAACTTGCTTGAAAGTTAACCTGAAATGTTTAACTGCAGAATATTTACTCAATTTTTGTTCCTATTACTGTAAATAACTTTATCAGTCTACTACTGATATGTCTAAACTGTCTTCCTACCCGGTTTTTATAATTTCAACTACTACAAATCAACTAGAACGATAGAATGAAGGTGAAAATTGCTAGTAAAAGCTTTACTCCAAGGTTAGTCCGTGTAAAGAAAAACGAGAGTATTTATGAGGTTATCCATGACTTAGAGCTTCTAGAAATTTCTGGAACCATACTAATTATATAGCAGTATAGATGAACATCCAAACAAAACCAAACACATGATTCTGCATTTTCTGTGTTTTTGCTAAGCTTTTATTGAACACTGTTTAGATAAACCTTGGCCTTCGGAGACTTTGATGAGAGATATTTTGGGACTCCTTCAACAAAATTATTCGGTTTTACTACCGTGTATAATTATTAGAGCTAACCAAATTATTTCTTCAGGTTTTTGAATAATTAATTATTTCGTTGAAATAATAAACCGATTTTATTTAAGCAATCATTAAAAATCTGGATACACTGGAACTTTTCAGTAGTTCACATCTACGATGCCTCAATTGGGAGTCGAGTTTCAGACCTTCATCTTACACTCAACCGAAACGGGCATCCAGTGCTTTCAAGTTTTCAATAGTTGCCTAACTTAGATTGATCCATGATCTCAATGAAATTCAATTTCTCCACAAACTTGAATTAATAATTAATTATTCATCAGTGTAAATGATTTTTCTGAATTATTTTGGTATAACTACTTTTTTTATATTTCAATGGCCATTTAAGTACAGGTATATGATAATTTTAAAATGCAAGTGCTGAATATAAACACCATAACACTATTCATTTACATATTGTTATTACACAAAATTAATTCTCTAATGGAACTCAATAACTATGTGGATATTTTGAATAGTTGCCTTTTGAAGTTACTAGTTTTTTGTGACCTGGGTGGATATAAACTGTTTGCACAAATCAAAGTAAGTAGACACATATGATTGTAATTTTCTACTCAACTGATTCAATATCATGTGTATATAAATATTATAATATCCTTAAAATAAACGTCTTATTACCACACAATTTTGTTAGATGTATTCTTTATCACTATGTATTAATATCTCACAAGTAACCATAATGAAATATAATAAATTTCAAATTTAATTATAATAGTTGAAATATGTTTTGATAATTATTAGTATGGAAATGAATTTCTAGGAGTTCTAGTGAAAAGCTATGATCAGTGGAATTCAATTCGTTTCGGATGTGAGACAGTTGTTCATCTCAGACAATGGATGAAAGGTTGTGTAAGATCATGGGCCGATTGAGGTTGGACATTAACACTGTTTGATGCGGGCTCAGTGGTCTAGAGCTTAAGTGTTCGCGCGCGAGACCGAAGGTCCTGGGTCTGAGTCTCGCGTGTGAGATCGTTGACGCACACTGCAGAAGAGCTCCATACTAGGACGAAACAGCCATCCAATGCTTCCAGGTTTTAAATGTTAGCCTAGCTTAAATCGATTTGTGAATTCAACTACTAAAATATTTTGATCAGTTAACTGTTTTTAACAAAAATTGGAAATTTTATCGGGACGGAAAATTCGATAAACTTGTATGAATTTTAATCAAGAAAAAAAAATCATGGTAGTGTTGCGTAAATATATATCCTGTTTCATGAATCTTCTACTATCTGCCATCATTGAATAATAATTAGTGATTCATAAGTAAAGAAGCTTTCAAATATCTATGGATCAGTTCAAGTTGCCTCACGCTGTCAGCATAGGAAGATGAAATCATTAAGAAAGTTATCAGAGTAGTAGAAGCAAAAACGCTATCAGTAATATTGTAGTGAACGAGAACACAAGTGGGGACAATCGAATGTATTTGAACACAAAATGACAGAACATTTTAGTAAAATCTGAGAACCATACGGTAAATACTTCATTTGCAAAATGTCAACCCATCGTCTTAGACTTTATTGTTCCTTCATTTCCACATCAATCATTCCTTGTTCTCGTTCTCTTTTCGTAACCTTCTGTCTCCAGGCACTGTACTTTCGATTAATGATACATACATATCTCTGTCGACATCAGTAGCACACATCACAGTATTAGTGATAGTAGATATGATTATGTTTTGTAAACAATATAATTCAAGGAGTAAATTTGTTTTTTGGCTTGGCCGTCTCCAAATTTCTTCCAACCAACTCTTACACTAGCAAACTGCTCGTTGAAGTAGTCAATAACTGAGTATACGTAATTACCATAAATAATGGGTTTAAATATTTTTTTTTACAAATTGCTGAAGGTTGGAAATAACATGAAGGTGGACTTGTTAAATAATAATAGTACAGATTTCTTTTTTTCGACTATATCAGGATGTGTAGCATAAATACAATAGTACTACTATTCGTATTATTTTTATGATTTACTGAAAAAAACTACTGTTCTTCTCCCTTTGTTTTTTTTTCAAAGTTCAAAGTAACAGTTTGCCATGTCGATTGATCAGTCGAGATAGCTTAACTCAGTCAACTTCTACACCCGCTATTAAATACGATTTTGAAGCACCTTCAACAATTGTTGTATCATCCAGTTGGATTGAATCGCAGGATGTTAATAATTCTGAAAATAAGAAATTCTCTACACTTGATAAGATTAACAATAATACTAATAATGGTGATAACAATAACAATGATAATAATAATAATCGTACCAATACATTACCATCATTTGTAATTGATCAGAATCTATCAGCATCTGTGAATACTTTAAAATAAGTAAAGATAATTCAAGAGTGACTACCGAACAATATCAAACCACCGATTCAAAACAACACAATCACAATTTAAAAATGATGATCCTTTACCAAATTTAATTAGAATCTCATTATTGGCACGTTTTGAAAATGATTTACTCTCTTGTATTTTATGGTTCATTTTAGCGTTCCTTATTCATTTGACAATTACTATAATCAATACTACTATTGATTCTACAGATTTTCATTCTTATTATTACTGTTACATTTTAAATTGGATCAGTGTTGTACTTGGTTTTCTGTTGCATTATGTTTGGCCTAATTTTAGAAAGGTGGGTCATTTTTATATCTTTTAATAACTTGTTTAACAATATATTTTTGGCGGAGTAAGTTTGTGGAATTGTTCACTTTGTTGTACTACGTTAAGGACTGATTTAGGCTAGGGATAACCAGTGAGAACTAGGGATCATTGGACAGTTGTTGCGTCATATAGTAGTATCTTTGATCGATGCTCTCGTTTACACAAATTGACCTTAATTTTTCGTATCAGTAAAATGCGCTGGTATAAAGCAGTTGTACATTTTTCGTTTATATAGAATGAAATTGTGTATTTTATTGGTTTCAATCTATTCAACCAAATATTACAAATATACTTTAATTAGGAAAACATGGTTCGTTTCTTATCTAAGGAATATCTATAAAATGGCATGAGATTTCTATAAAAGTGCGTTGTTATTCAAGTTACTGCTTCTTTATACCGCTTTTTACTGTCATACTAGACAACTTAATGTGTAGAGTGTCACAAATAACCCAAGCTACTTGGTGTCGTATGACAGTTTATAAATAGTAGTCCTATCTATAAAAGAAACCCGACATGATCGTTCGACTTGGATGTAAGCATATGTAGACCGAGTCCAATCGGTTGTCAAAATTCTTGTTGAAATCGTTAGTACGTTAGAAAGATACTTATGTGATTTGAAAATGGTTTGTGCTTATCAGCAGATATTGTAGTGAATGAGAACTCGAGTGCGGTAAACCAATTTATTGGTTCATTCAAAATGACAGTGTTTTTCTAAAATATGAAGTAATTCTGATATCTATATTTGGGCAAAAGTCAATCTACTGACATATGAGAGAGCAAAACATTTTAGGTATGTTTTTTAAATGTATTATTTTCTTAAAACAGCATTTACAGAATGTGATGAATTGATTTGACTCCTTATAAGAAAATTCCAGCTTGTCATTGTCTGACATAATATGTAGTTTGTAAATGTGTAACGTCTACAATAGAAGCTAATGATTACTTTTTTCTCGTTTCTATTAATTTATTAACCAAGTACACGTTTGTGTACTTGACTTAATAAGTTAGGGATGCTACCTAGGTGAAATGTTTGAATTGAAATAGATGGGGGAAGGTTCAGATTTGGGGACAATTGGGTAAAACTGTGATCTTTAACCACTTTTTCATCGCTCCACTATTTTTATACAAGTTATTTTCAACTTGGTATAAAATACTCTCTCTCTTGTAAAGTAATTAGACCAAAATTTAATTGTATTATTCATAAATAATTTGTAAATTTTTCATGGTAGATTAAGTAATCCTAATGGTCGTACTTTCTTTAATCTATGCAAATGATTCTTATGATCCATCATATTGTTCCTGATGAAATTTTAAACTATATTTCTTTGTCATTGAAAAACAATTGATACATGATTTATTATTTCTAAAACTTAGCACATGTTTCAATGGTATGTGTTATGCAGCATAAAAACATAATTTAGATTGTAGCTTTCATTTGTTATTTACTTATAATAATGTAACTGGAATTTGGTATTCACTACTTTTATTTTAATTTAGTTTCTCATTTACGTCAAAACAGCGAATGTATTATCTTTTCGTTTAACCTACCAGCGTGTATGACTAAGCATATGCTTACTTTTGTAATTAGCTAATTAAAAATATTTTTTACCATGGAAAAATGGATTTGAGTCTTGTGCTATATTGGTTGATCTACAAGAAATTAATATAATTTAACTCGTTATAGTTTGAGTTATCCAATTGTCGGTATTATTGGTTGGATTTGGATCGTTTTCAGTTGAAAAACCTGCCTTTTATTTCGATTGCCTTGATATAGTCATTCGTCACATGGTGGAAAAGATTTATAACCTTAAACCTGTCATTGTTTACTTCTTTATTTTGGTTGTATCTCCCATTGGTTTGATTTTTGATTCTATGTTTGCACATAATTTTTCCGATTGGTTGATAGATTGGATCGATTTCAATGTGCAATAGACAAACGTAGGACCAAAAATCAAACCAGTGGGAGATACAACCAAAATAAAGAAGTAAACAATGACAGGTCAACAAGAACCAATCAACATTGAGGTCTACAGGATAAGCTGTGAGCCATATGTGGAGAAATTCGTACACTTCACTTCTACCTGAAATTTGTGCTGGTGATGTCGTTCAAAGGAACGATGGAAGCTCTACGACCAAACCATCCAGCTCAGAGAACAAAACTTCATCAAAAATTTCATCACATGTCCTGTAGAATAGATGGATTGCGGCTAGCAGTGGAATCTAGGACACACATTTCGTTCCTGAATGAATGTAGACCCAGCCGATGAGTCTCAAAGAGGACGAAACGCGTATCCTATAATTCATTGTCAGCCACGATCTGTCTATTTTATAAACTAATCTAATGTTTTTATGGATTAATGGAATATGTAGCGTGTGACAAAAATATCTTTCCGATATGTTGGATGTATCTGATGAAACCACCATTTGAGTAATAATGAGCATAGGCGCACAGTCCTAATTAGAAATACAATGTAATTAATGGAACTGTAAACCTTAATCGACTGAAGTTATTAGAACATGTATTATGCCTACATAGTTATTAACTATTCCTCTACGCGATATAATTGTTAGTATAGAAGTGCAATGTAAAAAAGTGATGAACTGCTTAAGCAAGATCTACAAAGTCACCAATTGCCAGTTTAATTTGTAATAAAATGTGTAGGTTTCTTAGTTTTCAACATACTTTAATAATCATCTATCGTTAAAACGTATTTTTATCGTTGATTGGAAACATGCATTCATTCCATCTTTTTGTAAGCCTTCAGTTTTAATGTTATTCCATACTTCTTACTCATTGATTTCACCTGTCCTTTTCATTCTATAATCTGTATGTTTAATTTTGCTATCACTCATATAACTTTTCATATTGTACTGATGTAAGTTATGATAGCCTGCGGTGAAACACATCCATCCCACATCGTAAGTTGTCTATAAATAATGACCCTCTTGAATACTCATATCTTCAGGTTCAAGGTTGCGAATTATCCTGTTTTAATAGGTTTACACTCTTACATGAAAAATGTTTATTATTTATTTATTATGCCATTTTTGCTACTCTCTTTTCTAGCCGTATCCATGGTTACTGCTTGTGAAACCTGTTGTTGAACCTGATGTTCACGGAAGAATTATTCGCTGGGAAGTTGCTTATTTTTGGCTTTGTTGGGTAGAAAGAAACGTGTTCTTGCCTGCTATTACTATGTGTACAGTCACTCAATCTTTTGATTCAATGGCAGTGAAGTTTGGACCGTTGTAAGTATTATGATTATATATATATAATATTTTCTTTTACATAATTGTGTCAGTAAGAGTGTCTTACTTTTTATTGTTTGTTTCGCTATATCGTGATATCCCACTCAAACTATATTAGTTCGAACATTCTTACTCTACTGGTGTTCAATGTTATCAAGACGTTTCTCTCACCAATCTTCATTCGGAAACTAAACGTAGTTTTTTTACAAAGTTTCATTTTTTTGAATAGCAAATGCTTCTACAGCTAACTACCTGCCAATTTTCTAATTCTGGGCGTTGGCAATCCCTTCATTTAGTTACTTTTCTACTTTAGTCCTTTTTTTCTTTCCGAAATTTGATTGCTTTGAAGGACCACCTAATCAGAACTAATCTTGGCTTTATCACAATATGAATCAGTATTTTGTTTGTATCTTGTTATTACTCCTCAAAAGAGCATTCACTGCACTAAGAAACTTCATTCTAATGCTTGGTCCACTGATTTAATGATACAGAGAAGCGACTACCGGACTATTTTGATCAAAAGTTGTTCCATAGACCGATGACTGAAGTCAACAATGAAACAATTTTTACGAATTAACAAATGAAAAGCGAAGTGCTCCGAAATTTTAATGATATTATTAGTTGGGGTTAACCGTCCGAATTCAGTGCGGTTTTCCTACACTAGTTCAGTCATGGTCGAGTACCTCAAGGGTAATGTCTCAGATTGTGAAGTTAAGTTCGAATGCCATAGAGACCTTGTGACCCCTCAATAATGCGGCTACGCCGTAGTGACGTGTGCCACCCAGATCTAGAATTTGTTGCCAACTACTTCTGATCACCTTACATGTCATTAGGTTACTGTTTTGTTTGCAATAATGCAGTATCACTCATTTATAAATTATAATGGCTTGTTTACTTTAACCTCATTCCATCTACAAATTTAACATTTGGATAATATCATTTGTCTTTATTGAGATGTGTGGCTTGGAGTTGAGTGTACAAATAAGTGTCAAACTTCCGATTTGAATTCAAATTTAATGGGTCTTTTTAATTGTACAATTCTAATTTATTCTTTTTTTCAGACTATCCACATTCATAATTATTGTATGTAGTATGAAAATGTTACGAAATGGTTTTTGTTGTGCGAAACAAACTTACCTAAGTTTGTTTTTCACGAATTTATTATTTTCATTTGATTTCTACAATTTTAAAGAAGCATTCCCTATTAATTATTTCTTTGTATCACTTCTTGTTAGCAAGGTGAGTTGAATATTTTTTTCTTCTACTATTGGATCTATAATACTCATTTACTTTTCATGTCTTTATAACACTAATAATTACAACTGTAAGATAATAGGAAACAGTATTTTATCTTGTTCTAATATTTATTTGATGTGTAGGTCGATAAAATACCGAAAATTCGTTCTGTAAATAAATTCATTCATCATACTAACCTCTCAGTACTGATTATTCGAACTGGAAAAAAAGTTTGATTGAGATCATCCACCGATTGATGTTAGACCACGTTTGAAAACCTGGAAGCACTGGACGGCCGTTTCGTCCTATTATGGGACTCTTGAGCGATGCGTATCCACGGTCCCGCTCGCGGGATTCGAACCCAGGGCCTTTGGTCTCGCGCGCGAACGCTTAAACTACTGGACCACTGAGCCGGTATCCAATGGTGATATTGTTTAACATCAACCACTCCACGAAGTTTGAATTTATTTTACTAAAACGTTACTGATTTTTAATCGAACCAGTTATAATCAACGTAGGGTTTGGCATAAATTTATGTTGGCTCAAACTGCCACCATATTATCACAACGACATAAAATTTTAAAAAATGAACAGTCGAATGAAAACAATCTAGTAGCAGTGAAAATAAAAAAGAACAAACATTGAGGACGCGGCTCGAAAAATCAGAATGGTAAAGTACGTATGAAAGAATACAGCAACTGAGGATCTCGAGTAAGATAAAGAGTGAATGCGTTTGCGTTGTTGTGACCGAGTAATGTCACACAGTCTAAAACCACTGATCGCGGTTATCGCGTGGACCACGACCACATCGTCTCCATCTACTGAAATGGTCCAGAATGATAGTCAGTGACTTTATGGACTGATTTCATGTCTTGGTTCGGTCACCTGTAGCTTTCTTCCAACTTATTCCCAAAGTAGCAAACATTGTACATCGTGGTAGGTGATGGTTAGGGATACGTAACAAAAATCCTGGTCACCTCAGGCACTGAAGATTCACTATCTCACTTACCGACTTGCCATTTGCATCACTTTTTGCTATCAACAGGTATTACAGTTCATTAGAGGTAGTTACTGCAGTATGTTTGTGTTTCTATGGATGGGCCGACCAGTTCATCAAATCACTAACAGATATATTTAGCCGTACTATTAGGTATAGATTACATGGTTGGGGTTCACGTGATTATCGTGACCAGCGGTTTGCAATGGCATAAGTGCGTCCATTCTTCGTCTTCCCGCAAATTCTAAGATTCTAAACACAGTATGTGTTTATTGAATTCAGTCTGTAGTCTCTATCACATTGTAGGGAATGTTTTCAAACAATAAGTAATTTAAGGATGTGAAATATTTAGGTTTATTTATTTACCGTTTTCATCGTATATGGTTCACGCTTCGGAATATTGTCCCCTTTCATCTTATAGAGTATAAGTGTGCCCACACAACTTTATTTTATTTACAGCGTAGTTACGGATAAAGTCGCAAACATTTCATGTATCTAGTAAAAGTTATCACTTATTCTTCATTGCTTATATTACCTCATTGTATTTTTGGTCGTAATCGGATTATTTGACCAAAGACGTCACTCGTTTCTCGTCAGGGTTTTGTAATTTACTGTTGTTAATGTTTAGGACGGTAACTGAACAGTCTCTATTTCCACGTGTGCATTTTGAGTGGTTTTCCTCGGTACGGGATAATGTCGTAAGTCTTCATATATTTGCCATTCGAATCCAGTACGCGTGTTTCATCCTACTTTAAACTCGTCAGCCATTTACTTCCACACTTATTAAACAGGTTATTGATTACTGGGATGCAGAAGTCCGCTATATAATGCGTTGGGGTTTTAGAGCGAAAAGTACTAGGTTGAACATTTGGTGTTAACGCAAATTATGTGGTGCAGATATATCGAGCCGACGAACTTTAATTTGAATGGAACCCGCATCCCGGATACCGTTGATAAACGTCTATCAAATATGTTCAAAACTTATTTTCTTTCTAATCTTCTTGTTTGTTTTTGGTATCCTTACTGAACGTTCTGTTGCTTGTTTCTCATTGAGTTTTTCGAACAACCCTTATTTCGAGCAGAGTTAGATAGTGAATAGCAACGGAATCCAGAACTTAGGTTTCATCGTATTTGAAACTTTGCAGCTGGACTTAACTTAATCCCAATGTTGATGTTCGCACCGGGACTCGAAGGAAGTACCTTTCGCTTGACATATCTATTTGGCTACTGATTTCAGATAGTTGTTTGCTTGTTCACTGATAATGAATTTTGACTTATTTATAGAGGATGATGCAAACCTTTTGTCCTTAATGTTCAGAATTATAATTGATCAGTCTGTTGTTGGGATATGTCCATCCAATTTGAATGAACTAAATATTGTCGTTAAGTTACAGCGATTTCAAGGAGAGCCGTACTGATATATAAAAAGTTATATTGCTATGTTGCATAATGAAATGTGTCTATAATAATCTAACTAATCGAATATTTTCTCTTTTTATTTCTTTAGTTTATTGAATTATTCCGAAAATTGCATTTCATCTATGTGTATTTAGCTCCATTCAATATTATTTGGGGTTCTGTTGCACATGCAGTTGTACAACTTGGCTCAATCCCTCGTATCCTTTCTTTAAAAAAAAAAACAAATATCGCTACGTTTTATCCAACATTATAAGGTTTAATATGTTATTAGTGTAAGAAAATCACTACTTCCTAAATTCAAATCATACAGCTCTTGAAATTGAAACTCAGTAATTAAGTCTAGAATTGCATATTTATTACATTTTTTTCCTAGGCTAGATCTGTCATAACTTCTGAATTTATGTGCCCTGTATTATTGGATAACTCAACGACACAGCCAATCAGAGAGCAGCGAATTATCGATTGGACCAGTGACGCATAAAAGTGTGCGAGCAACCTAGAGTCCTGACTGGTCTCGCTCCCTGTCTAGCCCAGCCAGTTAAGTCCAAAACACCAATCTCAGCCTCTGTAATATGAATCATGTATTTCAAACATACTCTGTTTATATGCCAATCAAACAGACCACAACTTACCATAAAATATGAAAATAACATTTGTACAAAATATGGCCAAATGTGGCTGTGAATGAGGGAGGTAGTGATTAATAGACAGAGCATAACTCAAGAATGGTAAATCGTATAATAATAACTCATAGGTCAAAATAAAACTCATAATAAGAGGAACATGAATATGAACAGTTTAGTTACATAACAATTACACGATAAAAATATAGTAGTGGCCCATAAATCGATCCCAAGAATCGCCATTCATTATTCTTATCGGGATATAACAAAATCTTTCTTTGACTTGAAGCTTATTAAGACTATCTAGTCGATAAATCAATCAATTTTAAAAATAAATTGATGTTGAATGTATATACACCATTTTAGGTTGGCATAATTCACACTTACATAACGGGAGAAGATTAATATGTTGTAAAAATTCAGGCGAAAAACATTCTACCAATGTTAGCGAGAAGGGAAACCTTTTAAACAAAAGGAAGTATATTTTGTTGTATATGCTACTTATGCTGACAGGTATAAGTAATATGTGCCACCAATCGGAAGTAGAATACCTTTCAACAGAAGATTAAATTGAAGAAAACAGGAAGCAAACCAAAGAACAATCAAAATAACAATAGAATTAGAGAAATGTAAAGGACAACACAATTGATTAATTTAATATATTTTCATATTTTACCAAGCCACTGTGTTTTTCTGTGTGAAACAATAAATTGATTCTTCCCATCTAAGTCTTACCTCTCTGCACTTGGGGTTGGGTAGTGTGTAGTAGTAGGATTCACGACACAAGTAGTTCCGTTCTACTTGGGGCTTGGATCTTAGTTTTATTGATTAATAATCAGTCTTAACATGAACAAAAATCTAAACCATTACAAGAAAAAAACCAAAACAAAGGTATTTCAAATATATTGCATCAAATTCAGAAATGTAAGCGTATAGAATAATATCAAAATTCAATACTTTGAAAACTGATAAAGCAGTGGATACATCTACATTTCTGTCATTGATTTCGGACGAAATCAGCTGAACTCAGTTTCATTTGTTTATGTTTTTTATTTCTTTCAGAGTACTGAAACGACTGTCTTTGTTCTTTGTTTATATATATATATATATATATATATATATATATATATATATATATATATATATATATATATATATATATATATATATATATATATATCAATTTCTCTCCATCTCTATGATCCTTGACGTGATTCATTTTAATGCTTTATTACAATTAATTTCTAGACTCTGTATTCCTATTCGCAAATTGCATTTTTTCTACAATTTTATCAGCACCATTGGAACCTTTTATGGCTAGTGCAATTTTTATTACATCTTATGTAAGACCGATTAGTTTTTGGGAGACTAATCATCGGTATGTTGTTTATATATTTTTATAGTTTAAAATATAATTTTAAATACTAAGTAGATTGCTTGTAGAATACATCTTTCATAGTATTTAAAAATTGTGTTAGTTTTTACAGTATACTGTTATATGTTTTATCTAATCCTATATTTTCACAGTTGGATTCACGAGTCGATCTAAGCTAGACCACCATGGAAAACGTGAAAGCTAGGATGAATCAGTTGTCCAATACTTCCAGGTTCTCATTGGTGGTCCAGCTTAGATCGACTCGTGAATCCAACTGTGGAAATACTACAGTCTCCACAAATTTCCATACTGTGATAACCCATATTGCCAAATACACATTTTCGTATTGATTTCTAACCCACATAGTTTGTTTAATGACTAGTTATGTTATTCACTTACTTGCAACGTAATAAATGATGCAGAATAACGACCAGCAATATGGTTAACAGCTGAGTGCATTAAACATTAAACCACCATTTTGCATAATATAATGTGTACATATATAGTACACTGTGAATCTTTTATAATTTAAAATATTTAGGACAACAGATTTGTCTACACTTTATACAATACCGGTTAGATCAATTCAATGTGTACAGTTAATTTGATTGTTTTGCATCTATTTCAATTAAAAAGTTAATTTTATGGCCATTATGATAATTACTTATTCCATATGATTCACTTATTCTGCAGCACATACAAATGAAAGTTTTGTTAATTTAAATTTTATGACCTCGAGATTCTACTGGTACAAATAAAAACCTGGCTGTAAACATACTGGGTGTTTAATTGATACTCATACTATACACACTGTATCTTCTACAAGTATATCATTTATTCATATAGCATGTAATTTGGACAACATTAGCAACTTGAAATATTACTTCTTACATTGATATATAATCGGTATAACACATTTAGTTGTTTTGTCTATAAAGCACTTACAGTAAATCCACAGACTTCCTAAATGTATTATAATCAGAAATGGATGATGGCTAGCATTACAATCCAAACGCGCGTTTTGTCTTATTTTGGATTTATCAACTAGATGTACTTGCATGCCCATCGAGGCCATCTGCATATGTTGCATGCCTACCAATAAGCGACTGATTAATTGCAGCTTTACACATCAATGAGAAGATTCAAACAACCAATACAAAAAATTTCTAAATGTAGTTGTCACATCGTTGCTAGACTATGCAGAAATTCTTATCACCGAATAGTACATCACAAAGATTGGCGTATTGTTACAGGTATTTCATATGATCATATGTCTACAATACAATACTGCAACTCATCACAATTTATACCTGTCAATCAGTACATAAGGAGGTGATTTGAAACACTTATCTGACTAACAGATACTTATTATATATTTATTTATTTAAACACAAAGATATTGGTACAAAGTGGCACCAAATATATATACACCACGCAAATCTCATTTTATTTGTGTGAGGGCTGTAATACTGTCCGGGTGCCCAAATCGAAGCAGGTGGTTTTCTTAGGAGGCCACATCAAGAGCCTTTCAACCTAAAGGTCTGATCCATATGGCAGTGGAGCAACGTCAGGAGATGCAATCCCATGATACCCGGTTACCAATAATCGGTTCATAATTCATTTGTTCCTTCAGGGTACTGGAGCCCATGTGCACCATTGGTTTGTAATCAGGGTTTCCCAACTCACTAGTTGGATCCACGATATCTATCAACCCGGTTAAGGCGCCGGACATTCGCTTTTCGTCCTCTCAATTTCGTAAACGACAGTAATTCCGTGAGAAGGCAGTGAGTAGACTTCCCTAGCAGAATTTATATACGCGTGGTCATGTGAGAGCATTTGAGAGATCGAGCGAACTCTCCTCACTCTCGGCCGTACCAGAGCATTTGGGGGCTACTAGCAGATAAAATTTTAATAATTGACAGACTTTAGTTTATGAACTCTATAAAGAAACAAAGAACAGTTTATTGTTTATTAAAAAGTTGACTTACAAATATCAATGTATAACAAATATTTCATAAAAATATACAAATAACTATCATTATCAAAATATATTCTGAATGTTCTGAAGATAAATATATAAATACTACTTTTATTAAGTTATAGTAACATAATGTGATATCTATTTCATTTAATTCATAAATTCTATGGGTACATAGTACTTAAATACTCCGTTTGTGAATAACTTTTCGGTTGATAACATTTTGTAGGTAATGTAGATGGAAGAAAATTTTATTTTAACGTTTTGTATTGTTGTTTGAAACTTTGTCTTTAATAATTAAATATGATGAGAATTATCATGATGCCATAGTAACTGCATAGAAATTATCAATGATCCTTCCATATATAAGGGTAAATCTGTTTGTAGAAGTCTATCTGTTCTTTTGGTCATGTCATTCAAGTATGCAATTTTCTAATTTTATCTCATTGTTATTTTGTATGCAGTTTCTATGGTAGAATCCAGTTTTTTTTGCTTCTTCTTCGTTTATTTTTTTTCGGTTTTCTGTCTCCCTCTTCAATGTGATGACAGAGTACAAAAGTTAAATAAATAAGTTATTTCATTTTATTTGAATAAATACTAAAACAAAATTCTTTCCTTAGTTCTGTAAAAGCTATCAATTCCGTAGTTTTGGTTGTATTTCTACTTAATTATTTTGTTATTATGCCTTTTTACATATTTCAAGTAATTGTATTTATTATATAATTGAAGACGGTTAGCAGACAACCCCTAAAACTAAGTGTTGTACTGATTGAAGCGAAAAGTACTGGGTACGCGTCTAAATGCAAACGCCAAAACTCAGATACAAGTGCATTTCTCTGATGATTTCCAACCAGGACGAAATCTACATGATTGTTTTAACTGCTAATCTTTACTCACTTTTACTGATTGTTGTGATTCGATAACGATGTAAAGACGATCCGCTCAATACGCAAATATTGGTAAGAAAAGATGTGTAACATCCGCAGTTAAAAGTACAAACATGCATAAATCCAGATGCTTGTAATTTACAAACAATAGTTATCATCAGGTGTTGTACAAGTTCACGTTTATTTTATGTTTAAATTTCTATTTTATGAAGGACCCAACGAATAGAAACAACTAATATGCCTATAGCAGCTCAATTGAAAGGAATTTCTAAACATCAGGTATCTGGTAATCTGGATGGCATATTTTATGAACATTTAACAAGGAAATTACAACGAACATTAGCCGGTGATTTACAACTTGGACGTATTGGCGGGTTAACCGTTCAACATGGTGATGTATTCATTTTATCAACTGATGATTTAAACCTGTTGATTCATATTATTGAAGTAGGCAATGGATTCGTTACCTATCAACTTCGTGGTCTTGAGTTTATCGGTAATGGTTTGATAATGAAGTTTTTTTTAAATCACATCAGTTTTTGTCTTGACTAATTGTATTTATTTAGGAAAGTAATCGTCAAAATATTAATTTTCAAGGTTTCGCATCATAAACAGGCTTTGACTAGAAAATCATTGGAAATTAGGAAGTGCTGAACAGCTGCTGTGATACCGTATGCCGCCTTTCGGCAGTAATCACTCATGACCCCATTAGCAATCGAATCAAGTACTTCCAGGCCTCGCATGCAAACTCTCCACCCCTGGGCTACTGTAAAAGTGATGAATAGCTTTTATAGGAAGTCATTTTATTAACAGAAAAGGGTAATAATCTAAAATTTGCAGTACAGTGAGAGTTCGCTGCACGGTAATGTTGAGGATGTTAGATCTTTAGAAAACCAACTTACATACTGAATATTTTGTTGTTTTTATTTTGTAAATTTGGATTTTTTTATTTTACTCTACACATCTCTCCATAAAGGCTATTCTTTATTTTACTTATCTTGTCTACAAACCCTATATTTTTATCAGTCCGCGTGGTAAACTTTTTTCTTTATTTCTAAGATGATTTTATTTGTATCTATACTTGTGTGTTGTTTGCCTAAATTAATCTTCGTTGATCTTTACTAAATATATCTTTCTTACAAGATTTATGTCCTAAAATTAAGACTGAAAAGGGAATCATGACATCTCAATATCAAAAACTTTTGGTCCTGAAGTTATCAGATAATGAAGTTATTTAGTCATGATCTCTGTAAAATTTATCTCAGATGCATCTCAGTCGACTTTTTTTCACAAATCACACCAGGTTAGCAAGGCTAACAATATGATTAGGTAAAGTAGACAATGAAATTCTAGGGAAAGCTAGTTTTAGAAAGTATACTGCAAAAAATGTGATGTGATGTGAAATCTTTAGAAATTAATGTGAAAATACAAATATTAATTTTAAGATAATTTTATCTTGGTGACTATCAGTGTAATTTCGTTTGTATTAATTAATTTATTGAGATTATTCATTCAATTGATGTATGTTCATGTTATATCTCGGCGAGGATTATGAATGGCAACTCTTGAGAACTATTTATGGATAAATATTATACGTATATTCTTAATGTATAACTACTTAGTAGCTAGATTATGTATATCTATACTCCTCTTATTACAAGCTTTTCTTTGACCTATAAACTATTATTATACGATTTATAGTTTTTGAGTTGTACCCAGTCTATTAATTGCAGTCTCCCACATTCATAGCCACTTTTGGCCAGATTTTGTACAAATGTTATTTTCTATTTCATGGTACGATGTTGTCTGTTTGGAATTTATATAAACCTAATATGTTTGGAATACATGATTCATATCGCAGAGATTGAGATTGGTGTTCTGAACTCTACAAGCAGCGCTTGACAAGAGGAAGGACTGATAAGGACTCTAGACTGCCCGTACGGGTTTATGCGTCATTGTTCCGGTCGATAAGCCACTGTTCCCTAATTGGCGATATCATTACGTTATCCATCAATAGGGCACAAGGCCACAAGTTATAACAGTTCAGTTTGATAAATCCATTAGCTACTTAACATTGAGTTCAATCAATATGTAATTGAATCTATTATATTATGAATTAATCTTATTAGGTTCCATTCATGAAACCATTCTTCTTTACTAATTTTATATTTGTATCGGAAATTATGAAAGTTGTTGTACCCTGTTATCCAAGTGTAGTTATCGCTATATTGAAGCTTCTTATTAATTATTACGTATCAACAAGGCATGTATAGAGTTTTAATGAAATTATTTTTCTTCATTCTTGTTTACTGTTCATTTCAATAATGATCACTTGTAAAACTAAAATACACAAATTAGCTATTTAATAACAAATCATTTTTGTCATTCACTTCTTGATGTTCAAGTCTGAATACCTAAACATTTACTATACTAGGGCTCTTTATTTATATCTGATATTATTATTTAATTACCACAGAATGAAATAGGAGAGTTACCCCGGGGAGCTAAATAATATTTAAGTCATTTAGTGCAATCTAATATTTCATGAATCATGTTCAAAATTCTTTATTAGAATTCCTATAAATTATCGTTTTTCGAATAGATATATTGGTTTGTCATTAGTTGGAATAGTTGATATTTTTTCATTTGATGTTTAAGACTGGCTTTATCGGTTCTCAGTAATATAAGAACTGTTTAAATAAACAAATATATACAAATATATTATTAATTTAAAACAATCTACCTAATGCTCAATTTATTCGAAATTATTAAGTCAAACCTTAGTAATGATACCTACTGTTTAAATAAACGTTTGGATTTATAAGTTAATTGCCCTTTTAATAGTAGTCAACTGTGGATAATATTTTGATGTTTGAAGTGATGAGTACTGGTTTCAAGTTTCAGTATGAAATTAAGTAGTCTCAAAAACAGGGAAAAATGCATATTCTGTTTTTCTCAATATGATATGTTTAATTTTTGAAAATCATATTTAATTGTGTTTTTTTCCATCCTCTCAAAATAATCTTGTTCAACCATGGTTATTATTTTTATTCTTGATAACTGTCAGGTACTTTGTGTCATGCTAGTGAATCAGAAGCATTACGTTCAGATCCTCATAAGAGTAAACGGTTCTGTTGTTGTCATTCAAAAACTATTCACGGAATGTTAAGTTTTAACACTGCTGTTCGTTTGCGTTGTATGACATGGCAATTTGCATATACACCATATATAGTTGAAGGTTATGAAGTTACTGATCACAGTGCTGGATTAACATTTCAATTAACAGACTTACGGAAAGTATTGATCAGTCGATTTGTTCATGTAAGTAATAATTCCATTTGTTTTTCTTTCATTATAGTATATCTTTTATCAGAGGTGATAGTTCAGTTCTTTTATCGCTTCATATTTCGATGACCTAATGTTTTACTCAGAATTCTGAAGTCAATCCTCCTTTTGATTTAGTTATCTTGCACTTATCGGTTTTGTTTCGCCGAAATGACAAAACTCGACAATATTGAGGTCTTGTTTTTTCACTTATAATCGACATCAAACACATTTAACTATGGATTTCAATCGTCTCTAGTCAATAGGCAAAAAGTTTTACGGATTAATTAATGTTGATAATTTGTTACACTTGGGATTCGGATCGTTAAACATCGATGTCTATGACTATAATCATGAAAAACCACTGTTATGCTTGGTTTTAGTATATTTATCAATCGGATGGTGCGTACAAAAATCATTAAATCGATATTTAAAAATTTATTCTTCAACTTTTAGTCAGTCATAAATAGTTTATCGTTTTAATACAAATCCTTCCGATCTCCTGTTGTGAACTGAGGTTATAAACTCTGTTAACGATAAACAAGCTTGCTCTTAGTGAGCCCGAGTGGGTGTGAAGAAAGCATTTATTGATCAACCGAATCAAGAAATATCTGTATACTCATATAAATATATATCCTATAGAAATTCAAGCCACAGTTTTCCATCAATTGGGTATGTCTCATCCATTAGAAAAGGAAATCACATCTTCGTTAATCACAGGGGCCTATCATTTCATTTACGTCTGATTCGCCTGCTGCATCATTAACCTCAATTATTCAGCATTAAAGCACAATGAATTTATTGTTGAGTCACTTAGACTAGTGATTATTTTTCAATTTTGTATGTAGTGTTTGGTCAGCACGAAACTAGTCGACAAAAAATGACGTTGTTTATTATTGCGTGATCTGTTAGTGTATAGAGTTCTGTTTTTCGATAGAGATAAGTTACTTTTTAATGAAAACACTTTTTACACGACTGATTATTATTAATATTATTACATAATCTAATAAGTTTAACATATACCTTTTATCTTGTATTTTTCCAGTGTATTATTTATTTTGTTTGTAAATTGCCGAATTTATCGAGTCGATTAACTCAACTAACACCATGTTTAGATTCCAATCGATTTTCATCACCAGATTACTTTGATTTGGATCCTGTATTTTTCAAAGCAATTGATGATGACTTTGATGAAGATGTTAGTGGTGTTACTAAACAACGTTTTATTCAAATTTATTCCGATTGGATAGCATATTGTTTAAAAAAACAAAGTGGAAATTCAGTAAGACTAGCTATTTATGTATACTATATCATTTTTTGGTCTTAGTGATATCTATCCATATGATGAGATTTTTTGTTTATTATTTGTTGTGTTCTGTTGTTCACTTTATTTGCCATACACTCTTCCTTAGTACACCAAACTCACTAGGGAAATGCATAAACTGAAATGACCAAAAACTTCAACTAGCGAACTGAACAAATATGTTTATGAATCATTAGTATGTATATGTATGTAGGCTTCAATGGGTTTCCTGATAAATGGTCAGGTTGCTTTATCTTTTCTGTGCTCGATTATACGTACAAGTTGAAATGTTTATCGCATATCGTCATGTCTTAACCGTTATGGTAGATATATGCCATTTCATAGGGTATGTGGTAAGTCTCTTCTTTATCAAGTATGAAAATCAACAAACCGATGTTTTATTTTATCAACCATTGAAAACTGTATGGTTGACTCACAAGACACTCATGCAAAGTCCTTTCAAACTTGATGACTTGTTGACTGTAAACCTCCAATATATACTCAATTATTACTATTATTATGAATCTGATCTGACCTCTGTTATCACTTGTACCTTTTTCTGCAATATATTCGACTTGATCAAGGTTATTTTTGTTATCGTTAGCCTATTTCTTTCCCTAATTCATTCACTAAATGTAGTAATTAGACCAGTGTACAAAGTAAATTTTGTATAACTTAATAGACATATTCGGTTTTCTTCCTTTAACATTTAGAAATAAACTTCTAAATACAAGACAATGATAATTTCTTCTAGATTAGATTTTACTTTGTATTTTTCATTAAACATTAGACAATTTTATATACTCACTAAAATGATTGGGTGTTGTTTTCATAAAAAAAATGTTTTCTTTTTTCAGTCTGTACCATGTGGTCCTGATTCACCTGTGGTGTCGTTATGTTTAGCTTTAAGCTTACTTGGTAGGCGATGTATGGGTGGTCAACAGTCATCAAAGCCTATGTAAGTATTATAATTACATTAGATTATTTATAGATTTATTTACCAGAAACGATGATACTATATCCAGCTGTGTAATTGTCTTGTTTTACCCTCTAGAAAAAACAAAGTGAAGGGCAACTGTATCGTATATGTCTACATTTTTGGATTGAAATGAACCTAACTTTTTTTATTATATACAATCATTACTATTACTACTCATTTTCTTTAGTTTGGATCAATTCTTGCATGGTGTGCACCAAGTATTCGCAGGAGATATTAATTTAGTCCCAAGAGATGATTGGGTTCTTGTGGATCTTGATCTTCTTCAAACTGTTGTTACTCCTAGTGTTCGTATTGCATTGAAACTGTATCAAGTTAGTAATTTTGCGTGTTTATTGATCTTTTAATTTTTCATTCTCTCTCTGTTTTGTTTAGTTCTTGTTATTGTTAATTTTATCGCTTTCATACCTAATCGTTTATCATAAAGTTAGGCGTGACATTTAATTTGTTATGCTCACAATGAATATGATTTACAGTACTTACGTTATTTTTATCAAAATACTCTAAAATTATTTTCATTAACTTACAATCTGTCTATAAATTCGATTCTCTGACGTATTACCAATAAATACTTGATAATATTTTAATGATGAATATATACGTGTTTCGACCTAGTTTCCAATTCCTTACCAGTGTTCATCCATTGTCGCATATGGGGTTCATCAACAGGTCCTTCAGATCTCATGCCTAAGACTGCATCTTTAGATTATTAAGAATGAATCCGCTTTTCAAACTCTCGATTTGTGATAACTATTATCTTTCAATATAGTGAATCACTTAACAACTTGGTGAACTGTTATCAAACTGTTACGTAATATTATTGAAATCACAAACCAACCAAAGTCAGATTACTGTTCAATATTTAAGCAATAAAAATTACCTTCAAAATATATACTTTTTACATGTAACCATTTTTTTAGTTGATTTTTTTTATCTTGATTTGTGTTCCTTACATTCTTCTATGATTTGATATTCTCACAGGACACATTTACATGGTCATCAGGTAATACACATAATGAATTATACAAGAAGATTGTTTATACAGAGAAAAATGTTGTAATTTGTCCAGAAACTGATCCGAAATGGCGATTTGCTGTTTTAAATGATGCTGATTGTTTATTCTCATTTCGTTGGGTATCTGGTCGTACATCGGTGGATGTTTATCGAATTGTTCAGTTAACTAAGAGAAGACTAGAATTTAGAGCTATCAAAGTTAGTTCTTTTTTACCAACCGTAAAAAGGTCATCACTTGTATCTTGTCTCTTTACATCAGATCGACTTAAATTGTTATTGCCATAGATAAACCTTGCTTTTCGTATCAGCGAGTATGAATGACCCTTGAAGTTTTATTACCCTTCTTAAGCTTCATTAATTAAATGTTGCTATGGTATTCAAGTGCTTTGGTTTCTAATTTTGCCGTGTATTTGATTACACCAGCTATTCTTATGCTTTGTTCTGTTGTATACACAGAAATTTACTTCGATTACATTATTAAGTCGTAGAGAAGATTTTAATGTTGTTGAGTTGTCCATGGTAAATGGTTTAATTGTGAAGTTTTCATTCTCGTTCTTGACAACATCATCACTTACTTCATTTTAAAGTTATTTTCATAGTTATTCCACGAGCTTTGTCCTCTAAGGTTTCATGGTTCAGTCAGTTGGTTGATTAGTATATGGATTGTCTACACTAATGGCAGTGAGAAACGGCGCGAGCATCTAGTATTATGAGAAAATAAGTAGTAATGCGTTTGATCGAATGTACTGCTAAACTATAAGAAGTACTAGAAAAAGAAGTCACTATTGTTATTTGTATTTGGTCTTTCCATATCCTTTGTCTTCAGTTATATTTTTTATAATTTTTTTTGTTGATAATAGTTAAATCCTGAATGTGTTCGAGGTTTATGGGCTGGTCAACAACGTGAACAAATATTTTTACGTAATAATAATGAAGAACGTGGTAGTATACAAAGTGCTAATCCAGTCTTACGGAATTTAGTCAATTCTAGTTGCGATCCACCAATTGGTTATCCAATTTATGTTAGTCCTTTAATTACTAGTTTTGCTGGCGATAATGATGATTATATTAATGTATCTGGTGGAGAATTATCTTTTGTTAATATTTTATTGCGTATACGTGATTGTTGGAGACGTTTTCGTCAATTATGTGGTTGTAAAAAAGAAAAATGTGATGGTATGTGGTAGTAAATATAATTTTTTGTTGAAATATTTATCCATTCTTATTGATATCTTGATAGATATATTTAGAATAATCTGAAAATGGTTATCCCTAAAGTCAACTTAAATTCTTTTTTAATATCAGTGTGTGTGTATTATTATCAATTATATGTATCACTTCAGAGTTTCGTGTACAATTTTGATACATTTTCTAAAACGTGCATTTATTTGCATATTGCGTCATACCACATGGATTGCACATATGACATCAAAGAATGAGAAGAATTCAGTGAGTACTCGTGTTGTGAACAAAAACATGGTGAGGAAGGCCAGTTTATTGTTTTATACAAAACTACGCAGTCTATTCGTAAAATAGAAAAATCATACATTAAATACATCATTTACATATCTTCTTTCAGTTGTCCTTCACATACTTCATTCTTCCGATCCTGTTTTTATTCCGATTGCTCTGTTTTTCGTTTTCTCTTCTTTTTATTTCACTCTTCTCCTGGTAGGCTTTTCTACTTCCAATTCCCGCTACTTACTACTTCTTTCTATCCACATGAACAGTGCACACCACAGTTACATAGCTAGGTGACTATCTGAACTCAGTAACTACGATGAACAGCACGTTAAGCGTTTGAAGTGAAAGGTAATTAGTTCAACCCGGAGTGTGTAATTCAACACTTAGATGCAGCTGATTGATTCCAGATAGGATGGAATGTATATTTTGAACTTTACTGCTAACTACAGTGTACCTATTCTGTATAAAATGTATACTTATTTTATTCAAAACATATCAACTTATAAATGGAAACAACTCACTAATGATCACAGTTAATTTATTTAATACCATATACTTGTTTACAACAAATAATTTTCTGCTTAAAAATTTGCTATATTACAATTTCTCATAGCCATTCCACTTGTAAATATTGGAAGACCGTCTGTTAAAATATTTCTACTAGTGATTTGTTTCTGATCCTCTTTCTCTGCGAATATTTTTGTCTACTTGGTATCTTTCTCATCTTATTTCTTTATAATCACTTCTAAAAATACAGATAAGACGAGAAAATATCATTTACTCTATTCGTTCTATTTGAATATCACAATAATCAACTCTACATTAAGTTGTACTATTTTATTGTAACTATGAAGACATTTGGTTACGATGCATGAATTAATCAATGGAAATAAATCGAATATAGGAACATTTATTGTATTATTTGCCCCCAAATGCTCTGGTACGGCCGAGAGTGAGGAGAGTTCGCTCTACCTCTCAAAATGCTCTCACATGACCACGCGTATATAGACTCTGCTAGGGAAGTCCTACTCACTGCCTTCTCACGGAATTACTGTCGTTTACGAAATTGAGAGGACGAAAAGCGAATGTCCGGCGCCTTAACCGGGTTGATAGATATCGTGGATCCAACTAGTGAGTTGGGAAACCCTGATTACAAACCAATGGTGCACATGGGCTCCAGTACCCTGAAGGAACAAATGAATTATGAACCGATTATTGGTAACCGGGTATCATGGGATTGCATCTCCTGACGTTGCTCCACTGCCATATGGATCAGACCTTTAGGTTGAAAGGCTCTTGATGTGGCCTCCTAAGAAAACCACCTGCTTCGATTTGGGCACCCGGACAGTATTACAGCCCTCACACAAATAAAATGAGATTTGCGTGGTGTATATATATTTGGTGCCACTTTGTACCAATATCTTTGTGTTCAAATAAATAAGTTGTATTATTTACAATAGCTGAGAAATATGTAGGTCAGAAGTCTTTTTTTAACAGACTGTCAGATTAAATTAGTTTTGGTGAAAATCATTTCATTTCAAAATCTTTTATAAACTGCAAATAGTTTAGGAAATATTTATAAGTTAACTTTAACTCATATTATTTAAAATTAATTGGCTTACAATATTGAAACCCTTTGGTTTATAGCCGTTTTTTGAATTGTGAAAATTATTTTTCAATATTCTTTCAAACGTATTCAACTTATTGAGGTTATATTTTAATGAATATGTTAATGGATTTATTATTTCTAATACTTTATATCTATTAGTGAATACTTACATTTAAACGAGCATATTTGCTAACGTTATTATTCTAGACTCAGATGTCTAGTTTAAACGCACTTGTGTCTTATACTGAACATTTTATTCATTTAAACACATAAACATTGGTACGAAGGGGCACTGAATACATATGCGCCACAGTTCGTCATTCAACTTGTGTAAGGGATGGAATACTGGCGGGAGCCGAGACCGAAGCAGGTGGTTTTCTTAGGAGGCCACTCCCTGAACCTTTGACCTAGAAGTCTAGTTCACAAGGCAGTAGAGCAACGTCAGGAGATGCAGTCCCATGATAGCCGGTTACCAAAAACAGGTTCATACGCCATTTGTTCGTTCAGGATATTGGAGCCCATATGCGCCATCGGTTTGTGATCAGGGTTTTCCAACTCCCCTAGTTGGATCCATCAACCCGTTTAAGTCGCCGGACATTCGCTTTTCGTCCTCTCAATTTCGTAAACAACAGTAATTCCGTGATAATGCAGTGAGTAGGACTTCCCTGGCAGTGGAAAATTTTCTCTGAATTTTTGGTAACATCGTATTTTCTTCTGTTCTCTTGTTAGTTTAATAATTCAATACCCTGAATAGTTGTTAATTAATTCATGACACGAGTTCATGAAATCATTGACAGTTGAATCGAACATGTTGATAGATTCAAGTTACTTTATTAGTTCTTGAATTTTTCGTAAATAATGGTTGGAGATACTAGTCTCAAAGCTGGTCATAATGGTGCAGATGTATTTATTCTTTGTCCTCCTAAGATCTTGAGTTTCACATTCATATTATACGTTTTATTATGTAAATTTATTCTTTCTAGAATCATATTGTTTATATAAAGTCTTTTCTAACACTTACATCAATATTTCTTTCATTAATCTGTAATCTGTCTTGATAATTCCCTTTTACTGTGATAATGTTATATTGTAGCTTGAACTGATGTGCAGATATGCCAAGTTCTATGTTGAATATAACTAACTGTGAATTCATTGACTCCAATCCCAATACGCGGAAATCATAAGTGTTTTTTTTAAATCCCCCAATCTGATAGAAAGCTGCTGATATAATTTAGTTGTTATTGACGAATTTACGAGATAATTGTGAAAGTTTAGACATATATCAATAGAAACAACTCCTAGTTCTTCTAGATTTTCGATTGAGTGAACATTGATATCTGTGATTTATTTTTATAGTGACATTAGTCATTATATTGCCAATACTCGATGCTTCTCATATGTCATTTATGACTTGTCATTTGTTTACACCGAACTTTTGAGTAGCAGAACAAGATTGAAACAGTCACTGCAAAATAAGATAAACATACAAGCACTTGAATGAGAATACATATTTTGTGTGTTGTTTTCTCATTTTAATTTTTTAAACTGAGTTGATATGTTAAAAGTTCAAACCTCAATCATATTCTTATTGTTTTACTTGAATTTTCCCATTGATGTTTTTGGACTGAAATTGATCAGTCTCTTATTGGCATATGTGCATACTGTGCGTATGCCTCGATATTGCCTAAATTTACAAGCATTATAAGCAAAGATGGATAGTGGCTAGCAGTGGAATCCAGGACGCGCGTTTCGTCCTGTTTGGGACTCGTCAGCTGGATGTACCTGCATCTCAGAGTTGATGTTCACTCTGGGACTCGAACTCAGTACCGTTCGTTTCAAACGCCATCGCGTTATCCACTAAGCTACTGAGTCCTGATAGCCACTTGCTTGTGCAATGGGTTGAAGTTGAATTCACTTGATATTGTTTTACTTGAATTTTCCCATGATGTTTTTGGACTGAAATTGATCAGTCTCTTATTGGCATATGTGCATACTGTGCGTATGCCTCGATATTGCCTAAATTTACAAGCATTATAAGCAAAGATGGATAGTGGCTAGCAGTGGAATCCAGGACGCGGGTTTCATCCTGTATGCACATATGCCAATAAGAGACTGATCAATTTCAGTCCAAAAACATCAATGGGAAAATTCAAGTAAAACAATATCAAGTGAATTCAACTTCAACCCATTGCACAAGCAAGTGGCTATCAGGACTCAGTAGCTTAGTGGATAATGCGATGGCGTTTGAAACGAACGGTACTGAGTTCGAGTCCCAGAGTGAACATCAACTCTGAGATGCAGGTACATCCAGCTGACGAGTCCCAAACAGGACGAAACGCGCGTCCTGGATTCCACTGCTAGCCACTATCCATCTTTGCTCAATCATATTCGTTAGAAAAATTCTAACCACATACATTTCAGATTACAGTTGTAGAAATAGACAATAGACAGGAGAAATGTTTATTTATTGCGAGAGGTTACAAACTAGTTACATAACGCGTATACTTATCGTTCATTCGCACCTTTTGATGTGCTCTGCAATCTGAACTATTTTCTGTCCTAGTCTCCAAGTGTTCTGCCATCGCCACACTTTTGATGCACTGAAACGTTTCACTCTGTCCAATAATTAATACAACTTCGATGTCATGTTTCGCCAAACACTATTTACAAACAATCTTATCAGTAGCGTCCACACAGTCATCTGAATTGAAGTTTTAACCTAATTTCCAGTTTGTCTTCCGCAATCATCGGTGTAAATGAATAGTTTATTTTTTTATCTCTAATTTTTTATTTTTCAGGTCAAATTGAGTCTGCAATTAATCCATCATTATTTACACGTAGTAATACAAGCCAACAGTTGAAAACTAATGTACCAAGTATCACTTCTAATAAATCAAATGTTCAGTTGACATTGTCTACTCATCCATCAACTAGCAATGATAATGATAATCTTGGTAAATGGTCTTCTAAACAACTAGACTGTAATCAGGAAACAACTTTGATTGCATTAATTCACCAACAAAATGATTTAGATAATATAACTGGAGGTATTTTGTCTACTTCAACAAATAGATTTCGTGAAAATCATCATTTTGATCATATTTGTTGTTCCATTGAACAATTGTATAAAAATAGTCAACAAGTTATAGTATGTTTATTTTTGGTACTTTTTCTCCATCCCCTCTATCTTTCTTATTATTGTTTATTATTGATTGTAAAATTCTATTTTCCATGAGTTTATTTAATAAAAAGTAGTAGTCTTCAGTAAAATGGAATAGTGTTGAATAATTAAAATAATCTGAAGTGGTATCGTATCTCTCAGTATTACTCTGCCCAACTATCTAAATGATGGCAAAAGTCAGTTAAAAACTTCACTAGAACCCTCGTTCAGAATAATCTACACAGTCAGAAAAAACTGGCTTGAGGGTAATGAATTCAACAAGATTTATGTACAGTAGAGGCTATAGCCATTCATTAATTCAAACTTAACTTCTATGTTCAAAAGCAGTATATTCAATCTTTCAGTCTTTCATGGTCTTAATCTCGATTTCTATTTTCCATAATCTAATGTTTTATTCTCTACTTATTTTTAATTATTTTTCACAACTAGTAATTGGTAATTATTCTACATTTTAATTATTTTATTCTGAATTTCAATCAAATGGACAGTTAGTTATCTTTGTCTGAAGATTTTCCATTAACCGATTACTGTATAACCATGTTTCAATATCTGATTTTCGTGAACGATTCATGATACTATCACTTCAGGTGTTTTGAATTATTCAACACCATTCTATTTAAATATGGACTATTTTGGGTAATAAGTTAACTATAAACACATCTGTCAAGCCTAAATAAGGGAAATTTTCCAAAAGAGAATTTTCTTCGACGAATTATCTTTATTCTTTAATGAAACAATCAGTCGTACGTTAAGTCCCTGTTCCATTAGTTGAAAGGAAATATACAATAATGTTGTAAATGTTTTGCCTGAGAATGACTTTTAATCTTGAGTACTGAGGTGAGAATGTCTTACTGTACAATGATACATCAGCTTTGTGGTTGATAATTAGTGTCCATAAGCACGACATGTACTTTTCACTGTGTTATTCCAAAGTTTTTCTTCAACGTTGGTAGAATCTTAAACCTCCATTCACTTTTCTCGATAAATCATAGTAGTTTTGTGTTTACTGGTCGGATTTAAAATACATTAGTGGAAGAAGTTCTACACTATGATTGTAAAATCTAGAGGCTCTAAATTGAGTATATTCGGTGACTCGGCGTTCGATCATCGTTGGCTCAGGAAGATTGCTAACACGCGGTAAACAGCAGTATGTTAGTAATACAGTGGTTCGGCAGTACATATCCATGATTTCGTGTAATAACTACCTATTTCATTGTTGCCCAGTTGTTCCAAGATGCATGTACATTTAACAAAATGAATTAATTTTTAAAAAAAATGCAAACCTAATAGTTCGTATGATTTCAATATTCTGTAGAATATTTGTATATCAGGATGTGGACGTTGGAGTACTTCCTTTTGATAATATTGTTCGTAAGAACAATTAAAGCTTCACAATCAGTCCTTTCAGCCCAGAGACCACAATTATCCCCAACACATATCAATGTTGACAACCATAATTGTTTTGTTATAGTTCAGGATATTACCTAGTGTAAACATTTTTCACCAAATTTTTGTTGTTTTTTTTCAGATAAAAGATTTTGCAGATTTAGTGCAGCGTAATTTAAATTAGGCAATGACAATTACCATCATAGATTTTTTGGCTTTAACTACTCTTTTTTGATATGGATTCGACCTAAGAGTTAGGTCAGAATTAGAGAGTGAGTGACCTACAATCTGATTCCCTCCAATGGTCAATTACATTTGTACATGTTATACCTAGCTAGAAAAAACCTATTCTCCAGATTAATGACGTTGTTTTTTGCTCAAATTATTCAGGAGCTTCGAGTCAATAATTCTTTCTTGTGAGCTACCATCACGTAGTCACATACCCTATCATTGTGTATCATCTATTTATCGGCATTGTTTTCCAACATAAAAAAACATGAATTTCTCCTTCATAAAGTTCTTGAACTTAAAGTTTCGTATAATGGCTACTGTTACTTCACCCATTTGTTTAAAGGGTTGTAAATTGGACAGTGCTTTTAAACTTTCAAGCAATTAAATGATAATATTCTGCTTACATTCGATACTTAAAAATATATAAATTAATATTCTTTATATAATTTATTTCAGATTATTGACGCTTGTCAAATATTAAGCGGACATTTAAACAAGTTACAGTGGCCATTAAAAGGATGGTATCTACGTAGTTTAACTTATTCAGCTTGTCGTTCTTCTGTATACTCCGGTCTTGGAGCTTATCGTATCCACAGATGGACTCCAAATAATCCTGATCCGAATTCACGATCGTTTTGTCATCGAACAATAGCTTTACTTGCATTTCCAGAAGGACCACCACTTCTTGACGGATATTATGTAGCTATCTGGGAAGATAAAGGTCTGATTGAAGTCAAAGATTCAGATAAGGATATTAATACTACTACTACTACTAATAATAATGATAATAATAATAATAACAATAATGAAAATAATGACGATAATAGTCATGATCAATTTCTTATGAATTGTTTATTTACTAACAGAAACTGATTTCCAACATGACAACAGTGATTCTCTCTTTCTTGTCTTTCTAGAATCATCCTTATATCAACGAAAATTTTGATTCCCACAATATGCATCTAACTTATATTTGTATGTATGTAACAATATTTCAGGTTCTGTATAAAGTATACCGTTTACGATTTTATATATATATATATATATATATATATATATATATATATATATATATATCAACTCTATTTAAAGTTATATTTAGGAACTATATTATTTACTAGAATTTGAGAAAAAAGACTCTCGTTTCATCTTGTTGACACCAGCTTATTTACAAATTACAGATTGTTTCGTTTATCTCTTTTTGTGTACATATAAATGTTTTCTTTCCAATCGTATGATTGCTTATCATTTACACCAAAGAGTATTACAAACAATAGTCAGCACCACTATCTGCCTATTGGTAGCCTTCAAAAACAATCATTTTCTTTTCCTTTTATTTCAAAAAAAAAAATCAATTGTATTGTTACTGTTATCATTTATGATTTCACATTATAGTGTTAAATATTTTCATTTTCTATAAATAATCAGTTGCATATTATTTACTTAATTAACATTTGAATTTTTCTTTATATTATAAAAGAATTCACATTAATGGGATCATTTAATAGTGGTAGCTATTGTTTAGGTTTATTTCCTAGTCTAATGTATATTGACTAGCCTAACTTACTTTACGTCTCAGTTTTTGTTTCAGGTGATCAACTCTAGTCGTCTAATATTTCGTCTATTTATTGAATTTCAATACAAATAAATTTAGGTCAATTGTATATGAGTAATATTAGGCTACTGGTGGTTAGATTTTAGGATTCTTTGCTAAATCTGATTAAATTCCTACATATTACTTATAATTCAACTGACGCAAGTCAATTTCCTAAATAATCTTTGAGAATAAAGATTTCGTATCTGATATGTTTTGTTTCATTCTTTTTGTTTACAATGTTTGTCAATTTTAACAAAACATTACACATACAAAGTATATAGTTTGCACAAGTTATCAGAAATACTTAGTTTGATTGATTGAAACTATAATTATCTGATTATAATTTTGTAAGTTAAATAATTCTCTCGCTTGAAACAGATTTTCTACTTAAAAAAATCAAAATGAGTGACGTTTCTAATCTGAATTATTTATGCATCTTAATTTTAGGAGATTTATAGGTTTTGTAATGAAATAAGTGTTGATAATATCCAATTACTTCAACTATCATTATATTAGTATGTTCGATAATTGTTTTAATGAAATATGAAATGATAAAGAATATTTGTAGTTGAAGATGAGTATATGATCTTTTTGAAGTATGTGTTGATTATGTTGTTCAAAAGAACAACGTAAGCTGCACAACCAAACTATCCAGCTAAGGGATCAAAACACCTCCAAAATCATTTATTTTTATTTTATTTAAACATATAAACATTGGTACAAGGAGGCACCAAATATACATGCACCACATAAATCATTCGACTTGTGTGAGGGCTAGGATACTGTCTGGGTGCCCAAACTGAAACAGGTGGTTTCGTTAGGGGGCTACACCCAGAGCTTTCGACCTAAAGGTCTGATCCACAAGGCAGTGGAGCAACGTCAGGAGATGCAGTCCCATGGTAAATGGTGACCAATAATTGGTTCATAAGCCATTTATTCACTCAGGACACTGGAGCCAATGTGCAATATTGGTTTAGAATCAAAGTTTTCCAACTCCCTTAGGTGGATCCTTCATATCCACCAACCCGGTTAAGGCACCGGACATTCGCTTTTCGTCCTCTCAATTTCGTAAACAACAGTAATGCTGTGAGAAGGCAGTGAGTAGGACGTGCCTGGCAGTGGTTGTATGCACATAGTCATGTGAAAGCATTTCTAGAGGGAGAGCAATACAATTATGTATTTGATGATTCTCATTTTACATGCACATCGACAGTTCAAAAATAATTTTAACCTTCAAATTGCACTTTTACTTCATATAAAAACTAATTAACACCTAATGTCAACTATTAATAGCTCAATCTTACACCTGCACACACACGCAATTCATTTATCTTCACATTGTGAACTTTTCATATGATCCGCATCTAACTATGGTAGGGTAAGTACAGTAAAGATTTGATTTGTTTATTAGACATCATATAAATTTTGATTACTACCCTAAAGAAGTCGAGATAAGTTTGTTGGACGAAACGTTGGAATTATTCAAATTTCAATCGCTGGGATTATTTCAAATATAAATTTCACATATAATGACTTCTCTGTACTCTGTCCAATTTTTGTCAAACTGTTCGTTCTGATATTGATGAATATTCGTATGAGTCAAATATAATTATTTTCAATGTTTATTTGGATATCCATTATAAACTTAAAATAAAAGTGTAATTTATTTACGAAGTGTATGATCATGGATTCAGCTTTAAGCCTCAATGCTTGTGTGAAGGCATGTTAATAACAACTGAAAAGTGTATATGAAACGCGAGATGTGTGCACTCAGTCGCCTGATGCTATAACAATTACTGTCAAATGCGAATAAATAACACATGCCCACAATGAGAGGATGTTAGAAGGCAGAATGATATACTTGTTTATACGCAAACTATTTAACACTAAATACTCATAGTTTCTGCTGACTTTAAATGATTTCAATCGCTGAAAAATTTCCATTATATTAAAACAATTGTGTGAACAAAGAATACGATGACGAGAATCTGATTATTACAAAACCTGATAAAGGAACAGAAACTGTCCTACTTAACGAAAAAGACTACATTGACAAGATGAATAACATCTTGAATGATCAGCAAAAATTTCAGAAATTGAATAATCAAAAAGATGCCAATAATAAGATAGAGAAGGAACTGACCAGATCTTTAAAAAAGCTCAGAGATAAACAAATAATTCCATCAGACATATATGAAACACCTAGTAAAACATATTATTAAGGATGTATTCCAATTCGTCGACAAGATTAAAAACTTAAACACAAAGTTTAAACGATGATGTCCTTTGACGTAACATCATTTTCAAAAATGTCCCTCTTAGAAACTGTAGATTATATCTGTGAACAACTTGAAGAACGAGAAGTAGAAACTATGATTTCTGTGGAGATCATCAAAGAATTACTACTAAAATGTACTATGAATGTATATTTCAAATTCAATGGTGAAGTCTATTGACAAATAGATGGTATCGCGATGGGTTTACCACTAGGTCCCATATTGGCTGACATTTTCTCTCTAAACTATAAGACGACTCACGGGCACAACAAATCGACATTTTTTTATTTTACTGCCGATATATGGATGATACGTTTATCCTTTGTAACAACCATACGGACATCATAGAAACCACTCGAACGTTTCAATACAGTTCACCCGTCCATAAGATTCACATATGAGAAAGAAGATGGGGATGGAATAGCCTTCCTAGAGAAGGAAATATGAAACAGCTTCACGATACAACGAAGAAACTAGCAGGGAAATACAGTAAACCAGAGAGGCCGGTCAAAGACAAAGAAGGCAAGCCAATCACCGAAATTCAACAACAGCGTAACAGATGGGTAGAATACTTCGAGGAACTCCTGAATAGGCCGGCTCCAATGAATCCACCGGACATCGAAGCAGCACACATAGATCTTCCTATAGATGTCAACCCACCAACGACGGAAGAAATTAGAATGGCCGTCAGACAAATCAAGAACGGGAAAGCAGCAGGACCCGACAACATACCAGCTGAAGCACTGAAATCAGACATCGAAGCAACCACAAGCATGCTTACCTTCTATTCAAAAAGATTTGGGAGGAGGAACAAGTGCCGATGGACTGGAAAGAAGGACACCTCGTCAAGATTCCAAAGAAAGGAGATCTGAGCAAATGTGAAAACTACAGAGGCATTACACTACTGTCAATACCAGGGAAAGTCTTCAACAGAGTGTTGCTGAACCGAATGAAGGATGCAGTAGACGCCCAACTTCGAGATCAACAAGCTGGATTCCGTAAGGATCGGTCGTGCACAGACCAAATTGCAACACTACGGATCATCGTCGAACAATCAGTTGAGTGGAACTCATCACTATACATCAACTTCATTGATTATGAAAAGGCATTCGACAGTGTAGATAGGAGGACATTATGGAAACTTCTTCGACACTACGGAGTTCCTGAGAAGATTGTCAACATTATCCGGAACTCATACGACGGACTACAGTGCAAAGTAGTGCATGGAGGACAGCTGACAGATGCATTCCAAGTAAGGACTGGAGTCAGACAAGGCTGTTTACTCTCTCCCTTCCTCTTTCTTCTGGTGGTCGACTGGATTATGAAGACCTCGACATCTGAAGGAAAACACGGAATACAATGGACAACTCAGAATCAATTAGACGATTTGGACTTCGCAGACGACCTAGCCCTCCTATCACGTACACACGAACAGATGCAGATGAAGACAGCCAGTGTAGCAGCAGTCTCTGCATCAGTAGGCCTCAGCATACACAAAGGGAAAACCAAGGTCCTCAAATTCAAGGCGGAGAACAGCAATCCAATCACTCTTGATGGCGAAACTCTGGAAGATGTAGAGTCCTTCACATACCTAGGAAGCATCATCGATGAACAAGGAGGTTCAGATGCAGACGTAAAGGCGAGGATCGGCAAAGCAAGGGTCGCATTCCTACAATTGAAGAACATATGGAACTCAAAACAACTTTCAACCAATATCAAAGTGAGAATCTTCAATACGAACGTCAAGGCAGTTCTACTGTATGGAGCTGAAACTTGGAGAACTACAACAACCACAATCAAGAAAGTACAAGTATTTATAAATAGCTGTCTACGCAAGATACTCAACATCCGTTGGCCGGATACCATCAGCAATAGCCTTCTGTGGGAGAGAACAAATAGCTTCCAGCTGAAGAAGAAATTAGGAAAAGACGATGGAAATGGATAGGACATACATTACGCAAATCGTCAAACTGCATCACGAGGCAAGCCCTAACTTGGAA